ATATGTGAGCCTGCATGTGCGTCCAACTCTCTCTCTCTCACCCCCCCCTCTCTCACTGAATCACTTACTTTTCCTATTCCTAATAAAGTGCCTAACAAATGCAACTTAATGAAGGAAGAAGGCACACAGGACTTGGAGGGAGCTGGTAACTGCATCTACAGTTGGGAAGCAGAAGTAAATGTCTTATATTTACCTCACTTTGGTTTTATTTTTGTTTTTGTTTTTTGTTTTTTTTTTTTAAATGTGGGACCTCATCCATGGAATGGTAGCACTTGTATTCAGGGTGAGTCTTTTAACCTGCTGAATTTAGAATTTAGAAGGTCTTTTATTGACTTGCCCAGACTTTTTTTCTCTCAGGTGATTCTAGGTGGTATCAAGTTGACAATATTAGTCAGCTCTTTTTCACCTCCCCACATTTAAGTGATTATTTAAAGGAAATAGTAAGTCTCATAAATAAAACAATGTGAGTTTGAATAGAAAAATAAGAAAATTGTGAGAAAAAAATGGACCTGGTTCTTGTCTCAAATTCTGTTCATCACCTATTAGAATTTACTTCATGATTTGGAGAATAATAGTTCCTATAGCTAACAGCTTAAGAAAGATGGATGTGAGATTTAGATTCCCTTTGAATCTTCAGAACACAGTGATCTTAATCTCTTCTTGGGTTTGAAAGGGTCCTTTTGAGATATTTATCTATTTTTGTTTTGATAATGTTACTTAATATTATAATGAAAAGAAATTGCTTTCATTTTCTTTTTCACTCTTGGAGACAGAGCCTCATGTATCCTAGGCTAGCCTTGAACTTGTTATGTAGTCAAGGATGCCCTTGAAATTAAAGTCCTCTTGCTGACATCTCCTATGTACCACCATGTTTGGTTTAATATGGTACTAAGCTTTCTACTTGTGGATCCACACCGACCCAGCCCAATATTTCTATTGTTCCTGACAGCTGGAAGTCTATAATTGAGAGTTTTTCAAATGTTGAGGTTTTCTTCTTTTTTTTCTTTTTTTCCTGTTATACCATGTGGATGGATAAAAGCTCAAGAGAAGGCATAATCTTAGGAAGAAAAATACCTCCATGTTTTCCCTTTTGTGCAGGTTCTAGCTGTGTGTGTGTGTGTGTGTGTGTGTGTGTGTAGGTAGGTAGGTTTGTATTCATCATATCAGGTGTATGGAGGTCAAAAGACAAAACGACAACTTGCAGGTATTATCTCCATTCACTTTGTGATCCTGGGAAGTAAACACCTTCCTTTATCCACTGAGCCATCTCTCTGTATCCCACTCTTCTCTTTAAGACAGATTCTTGCTATATAGGGTAGGGTGGCCTTGAACTTTTTAGCTCCCTGAGCCTTCAGTGTGCTAGGATTGTAGGAGTGTGTTAACCACATCCAGCTTGATTATCTTTTACTTAAAAAGTAAAAGTAAATAGTGTTTCTAAAAGATGACCTGATGAGTTACACATTGATCCCTCTCCACTGAATGTGGAAGGCTCTAACTCTGCCTGCTTCAGAAGTATCCTTGTATGATGTTTGGGGCTCTTTATATTATCACTTCCCATTACAAATGACTAGAATATATTCCTTTCTTTTTTGTTTTTTTTTTAAACTGTGGCATGGAGATTATATGTTAATTTGTTGTGAAAGTTTAACTCTTTGTAGAATAGTGTTCTTGTGATTTGTCTTTATTGTTTAAGAGCTGGAATGTGCTGAAGAATATGCTCTTTACATGGAATTTTTACAGATGCTGTGGTTGAATTTACCATTCCTAAGAATCTCTTTTACAGCCAGTCGGTGGTGGTGTACACTGTTAGTCCCAGCACTCAGGAGACAGACAGGTGGATCTCTGAGTTTCAGGTCAGCCTGGTCTACAGAGTGAGTTCCAGGACAACCAAGGCTATACAAAGTTCTTTTTCACAACATTTATTAAATAGAATCATTTGATCTAGTACTGTGAGAGTTTACTTGCATAATTTTGATTCTTTGTTCTGTTTTTCCTTTATTATTGATTTCTTAAACTAAACTTGAACTTTACTTGAATTTTACTGGCTTTTAAAAAATGTCCCTCTTTTGTTCTCCCATGATCCTGTTCAAGCCTGCATTTAGTTGTTATGTAATAACCCTAGCATCCCTGGGGCAGTATCTTAGTCTGTCCCCCCTCCCCCATGTATTGAGAAATACTGACCAGCCTATGGACTATCTTGTAGTTTGCGTTTTCTGTTGTTTCACCACAAATGGACTAGGATGATGGGTTTTGGAATGAATACAAGAGTTCTAAAATGTCTTTCTTGTTATATCCCATCATGCATACATTACTTGATGTCACTGCTGATGTAAACTGTACTTACTTGGGGGTGAATATCTTCCATTGTAAAGGTAATTCCTTTTGTACTTTCTAAGTAGTAACTATACCAGGGTACCCTGAAAAGAGAATGGGGGGAGGGAATGAAGCAATGAAGCTATACCTCCCTTTAGGAACATACTACATATAAAATTTTGTTCTTCCATAAGAAAGATTAACCTTTCTTTTTCTTTAGTTTCTTTAATAATTTATTGACATCAATATAGATATTTCTAGTTTGGCTTTTAATCCAACACTATGCTATTTATTGTGTTCTGTTATTAATCTAGTAGGAGTTCTTTCAGGTTAATTTCTATACCTTTTTGACATTTTCATGTCATCTCTAATCTGTAAGATGTTTTAGACTTACCTTTCAGGTAAAATTGTTTTCCTGTATTAAGCTCTAGAATTAGTTATTTTCCCAAAAAGTTTGTTCCCTTTTTTATTACATAATGGTATTTAAAAACAAGATTCATGTAGATATAGGGTTTGCATGTTGCTACTAGGGTGTTGCTTCTTGTTTTTTTAGGACTTGACTTCCTTCACAGAATATTTGAGGTAAACAAAAAACTAATCTTAGTATCTGTTCTAGTACTTGACTAATTATCAGTGGGTAGTGTGAGCTTCATTTATATAACTCTGACACCTGTCGATTGGCTAATATTCTACTTACTGTTTGTAGCACAAATTCTAGTTGGTCTTAATAATAAAAGCTCAGAGACAGATTTGGGGCTAAAGCTGAATAGCAGAGAAGCAAAGTGGCCAGCTACTAGAGAGTTCTTACCTCTATCAAGACTCAGACCAATGGGGGTGGCGATCCTGTCCTCAGAGTGACTGCAGACTGCAATGCTCTCCACCAAACCTCAGACTGTTCCCTTAGACTACACTGAACTCCTGCCTTGTATTCTCTCTAGTGTTAGTATTAACGGTGTGAGCTCTGTTTCTCTTTTAGACTGATAAAATTTCCTGTAGCCCAGGATGCCCTTGAACAAACTCGCTGAGATCCATCTGCCTCTGTCACCGAAGTCCTGGGATTAAAGGTGTGGCCACAACTGCCTGTCCTGTATGGCTAACCAATAGCTTAGGTGTGTGGCCAACTAGTGGCTTAGTGTGTGTGTTTGTGTTTGTGTTTGTGTTTGTGTGTGTGTGTGTGTGTGTGTGTGTGTGTGTGTGTGTGTGTGTGTGATTAACTAACTAATGGCTTAGATCTGCATTATGATCTTCAGGCAAGCTTTATTTGTTAGATTAAAAATAAAACATCACTAAACTATTTGAAGTAAACTTCAGTAACTATAGTAGTTCACCTGAACACTTTTTTGTTTTTATCACTACATAGTGAAGACTTTTAAAAATATATTCTTAAATTGAAACATAGTTGGTATGATGCCCAGATCAAGATATAAAACGTTTCCAGCTCATTGCCACTGATATTTTTTTTTTACAAGTAGTGTGTGTGTGTGTGTGTGTGTGTGTGTGTGTGTGTGTGTCTGTATGTCTGTCTGTCTAGGTGCAGATAGGTGTCCTCATACACAGGAAAGCCAGAGGAGGTTTTGAATTTCTTGCTCTATTATTCTACACCTTATTTACCTGAGGCAAAGTTATTCATGCTTACTAAACTTGGAGTTGGGCTGGTGTGTAAAATCCTCATGTGTCTGCCTAGTCACAGTGCTAGAGTTATAGGTATGCATGTGGCTATATCCAGGTTGTTTTTCTTTTTTTTAACCTGAGTTCTGGTTATTTGAACTCAGCTCTTTGTGTTTGCATAGCAAGAGCTTTTACTTGCTGAGCCATGCCCATCTTGCTTTTTGAGACAGTATCTTGCTATGCAGAACAGGATGGCTTTAAACTTAGAGTGATCTTCCTGCCTCAGCCTTTTAAATGATGGGATTACAGTCATGCATCATTGTGCTTAGTGCTCTGACAGCACTATTTTTTCCCTCAGTGCTAAGGGTCTGGCCTCATAAATGCCCAGTACCTAAAAAGTTGACAGTAACTATCAGCTAGATATTTGGCATTTGTTTGAGTTCCATCTCCATCACCTTCCCCTCTGTCTTATAGTACACTGCCAAAGATACATGACTTGTTCAGTAATTACAGTCTACATTTTCCTGAACACACCTCCATGGTCTTTTCCAACATTGTTCTCACTGTAGCTTTCCTTTGGGAAACTTGTCTCTGATTTTCTAATTCAGCCACAACACAGTAGTGGTCAGTGATTCTGTCTTTGGAGAAACCTCATCAGTTAGGTGTTCCTGACATCTAGTTAAAGGTCTTATATCGTGTTCTGTTAGCCAGGGCTAGAAGAGTCTTAAAACAACAAACAAGCAAACAAAAAAACTTGTATCTTTTCTTAATAACCAAGTCTTTCAGAAAGACCAAGTAACTTTGTATGTAGGAAGGGATTTCATTACTTTTGGCTGCTCTCCTCTCTAGAGATTAAATATTAAAAAAGTTTTAAGGCAGCATGCAATTAGCTATTACATGATTAGCTATTACAGTTTTTAAAGTGGTACTTGGTTGTGTCAGAGTCATTAGTCTTTGGGGGCTAGTCTGATTGAAGTTTTTGAAGGGTCTTTAATACAGAAAATAGGATTATATTATAAAAATAGGCTTGGCTGTGTTTGGTTTGTCAAGTTCTCTTTTGTTTTATTTTTATATTATAGATCAGCTCGAACGGGTCTTTTTACGACTTGGCCATGCTGAAACAGATGAACAGTTACAAAATATTATATCTAAATTCCTTCCTCCTGTTTTGCTCAAGCTGTCCAGTACCCAAGAAGGAGTACGGAAAAAGGTAAGCATGTTGGGGGCCACTTGGGGGAATAAATGGTGAATAAATATCAAGAAGTGAGTTTTTTTTTTTTTTTTTAAATTCCTGTTGAAATGTAGGTTCGTGATCCTAATTAACTCTTCCCAAATGTATGATAAGTCTGAAATATAGCTTTCATGATGGAAAAGCTTAACAGCCTGCATTACCCATTGTGTGTTTGTTACCAGTGCCAGGTGATTTAATCAAGATAATTATCTGGAGTGATCTAAAACTGAATATGAAAGCCAGTGTAGAAAGGGGAAATGTTCTTTAATCCGTGGTTCGTGGTGAATATATCTTTAAATAAAGGTTATAAAGGTAAGCAAATATGTTTTTGAAAACAGACTATTTTTATATAGCTTACACTTTATGTCCTATAAAATACTATTTCAAAAAGGTATATAACTATAATATCACTATTTTGTTTTTAAATTGTTCTATATGAACACTTTCCCCTTTGATTTGTAGCATAGTTATTTTTCCAGTATATTTGTGATAGACCTTCTGGACTTTGAGCTGTCATCAGGTCTCACCTCTTGGGTTATTATAATTGATTGACATTGATTTAAATGTCTGTGCTAAGAGGCCTGATTTGAGTTCAGTGGGAAGAGTATCTCCTAGAATGTCTATTTTGTTTGTTGCAGGAAAGGATGGACAGTCTTGCCATGTATTTGTTAATTCTGTCCTTCTGTTGTTGAGGTAGACTCTGTTTGGGTATGTCATTCTATTTAAAATTGTTCAGTGGACTTTTCTTGCTCTCAGGATATAAAAGACCTTTTACAAATTGATGACTATTTACTTAGTGTTACTAGTCTGGCTGTTTACTGGAGGTTTTCTATATGCCTGTGGTACATGCTGTATTTCTCTGTTGCTGACACAAAATACCTAACAAAAGCTGCTTAAGGAGGGAAGAATTTCTTTTGGCTCACAGTTTAAGAAAGGGTGAAGGCAATTGGTCATATTATATTCATTCAATAAGCAGAGAATGGATGGGAAGTGAAGCCTGGCTATAAAACCAGAATTTCTCCTTACCAGTGACTAACTTACTCTAGTGAGATTTTATGTCCTAAAAAGGTTTTACCTTTCAAAATAGCACCAACAGATGGGTACTAACTAATAAAATACATGGGCTTGGGGGAGGGACACATTTTACATTTGTTAAGGGTGAAAAAAAAAGGAATAGATGGAAAAACACATGGAGACTTGGTTATGACTGAGTTGGATAGATAGGAGGCTTTTTGGTAAGCAAGAAGATTCACCAGGTTAAGAGATGGTAGATTCTTAACTGGGACTGAATGTGATGCCCTTGGTGAACTAAAGAAGGCCACAGAGATTCTCTCAGTGGATGAGGATGAGTGATAGGAGACAGGCTGTAGAGCATTGATTTGAAAGGGTGGTAGTGATATATCTTTACTTAACTGTTGAAGCTATTTGGACTGGAAGCTGAAAGTAGAGTTCAGGAAGTGGCCAAAGAATCATTGTGTTAGTTTAGGCTGAATATTTTTAGTAGATTAAAAACAAACAAACAAACTTGTTTATTTAAGGTACTTTATTTATATATTTATTTATTTTTGTAGAAAACCATCCATCTCTGTTTTGTGTATAATTCTTTTCTGTTGTACAATCCTATTATCCTTCCAAATGGAGAAATGTCATTCTTGTTTTCTAGGGTTCTTTTTTTTTTTTTTAATGTTTTTGTGTATATGTACATGTATGTGCATGTGACTGTACACATGTAAAAACTAGAGATTCATGTTGGATAGGTTTCCCAGTTGCATTCCGCCTTTTAAATATGTTTATAAGATTTTTAAAATTTTTATTTTGTCCGCATGGATGTTTAGCCTGCATGAATATCTCTTTACCACATGGATGTCTGGTGCCCACTGAGGCCAGAAGGAGGGCTATCAGATTGTTGTGAGCCACTATATGGGTGCTGGAAATGGAATCTGGGTCCTCTGAAAGAGCAGCCAGTCAGTCCTCTTACTCCCTGTGCCATCTTCTCAGCCTCTCCACTTTTTCCTTGAGACATGATCTCTTATTACACCTGGGCCCCACTGATTTGGCTAGATTGGTTGGCCATTAGCTCCATTTCCCCAGTGCAGGTATATGCATCATGTCCAGCTGTTTTTCTTTTTTTAGAACATGCATTTTGACTGTCTGGGTGCTAGTGCACGCCATTAATCCCAGCACTCAGGAGGCAGAGGTGGGTGGAGGAATATCTGTGAGTTCGAGGTCAGCTTGGTCTACAGAACTAGTTCTAGAACAGCCAAGTCTGTTAACCCTGTCCTGAAAAACCAAAATCCTAAAAAATGTAGATTCTGTTGGATTGAACTTCGACCTGCACAGCAAGTCTTCTCAGCTCTTAGCTCTCTAGTTTTGTTGTTCACTATTACCAAAATTATGCTGTGTGTTTGCTTGCTTATTTATTTACTTGCTTGTTTATTTGTGCAGTCCTCTAATCCAGTGCTTTTTACATACTTGACAATTAATATATCCAGTGCTTTCTACATACTTGACAATTAATATATCACTGAGCCATACCTCTAGCTTAGGCTTAATTTTTCTCAGGTCTGAGTTGTTTTAAAAGGCAAACTGGTACTTAGATTTATTTTCCTCTTGTTAATTGTATTATTTCTATTTTATTCAAATTATGTTTCTTTTTATCATAAGATTTTTTTACTTGTATGATAGTGTAATAATGATTATTATGTGTTGAGAAAAGAGCTAGGTTTACAAGATAATAGGAAGCAGTTCTTTCCCACATTTTACAGATGAAGCTATATTTAGAATGATTAATGAACTTTATCTTTATTTGCTTATATGTTTATTTATTTGTTTAGGTAGAATCCCACTAGCCCTCGCTGGCCTGAAACTCTAGACCAGGATGGCCTTGAACTCACATACCTGTCTGCTTCAGCCTGTGTGCTAGGATTTAAGGCATGCTCCACTATTCCTGAGAATTAATGAATTTTTAAAAGACCAAATAATGAATTGTTGAACCAGGATTTAAAGTTTTAAATACAAACTTTGTCACCAAATAAATTTTTTCATTGTGTTTCAAGAATGCTCAAAACGTATAAAAAGACAATAGGAAGTTGTCTTTCCTATTAAAGTTATATCTTATAATTACACTGGTATGCAGTGTTTGCTTTTATTTTTGACTTAGCTACTAATAAAAACTTTTTTTTTTACGTTTTGAAGTATTTTCCTTGTTGTACTTCATTCTGGACTGAAACCTGAGTAAATTTTTCTTTGGTTGTGCTTTGGATGGCTACCACCTAGGCTTTTTGTGCATGAAGAGCATGTGTTCTACTACCAAGTTACATCTGCAGTCCTAAAGTAGATTCTGTGCTCTGAGAAAAGTCCTTCATAAGAATAAAAAAAAAATGTTTGTGGAATGTAGAGCTCAGTATGTCCTGAGGCTGTTTGCTGTTACCACTGTAAAGTTATGTCTTGAGAATCTGTCTTCTAGATTTGTATATTGATAGTCATGGATTGTAATTTTCTACAGTTGCAGTTTTCTTGTTAGTTTAATATTTTGGCTTGATGCATTTTGATGTACAGATTTAATATTTTATTGATTATAGTATTATATATATACATACATATATGTGTATTGTATACATATTGGCAAAGTGACTTGCTGTTAAGCAAACTTGAGAACTTCTGGGAGAAAGGAAATGATCCTTAAGCCTGGTGCCACTCTTTGACATAACTTTTCATGTAATCTTGTTGCTTGCCTTTGAAGTATTATCATTTGAGTCCTACAAATGGGAATAATGATCCTGAAATTAATAGTAATAGCCAAAATTATTGTACAGCGTCTCATCAATTCTGTGAGGTATAGGTGCTCTAATTATTCCTATTTTATAGTTGAAAAAATTGGAACTCAGGTAAGTAATTGCTTTATATCACATGACTAACAATGTACTTTATAAATAAGGACTTAATAGATGAGTAATTTCAAAATTAAGCTGGTTTCTGCCAGGCACTGCTTCTGTGTAATGGCTACATGAGTTAAGTTGTTTTTTGTTTTTTGTTTTTTTTTTTTTTTTTTTTTTTTTTTTTTACTGTTTTTATGAGAGTAAATTTAGTTCATCCAAAGTCAGTCAAGTAAATAGGGGTTAAAAATGACTCTGAAGGCAGTAATAGAACTTTCTTGTGTTAATTTTGACTTTTAGACAGTGGGTTCTTGATAAGAATCTGCTTTCGTAGTATGTAGTCATGTACTGTTAAGCCTTGTAAATTATAGAACCAATGTAATAATAATTGGCATTTGAATAGTATTGTTAATAAAATGTATAGATACTGAGCACAAATTCAAATGCAGTTTTCTTAACTATATAAAATAAGACTTATGAAAGATTTATTTTTAAATAGAACTCATATCATAGTTTCATTTCCCTCCCTCCTTTTCTCTCTGTTTTTCCCTCCCTCCCTCCTTTTCTCTCTGTCCCTCCCTCCCTCCCTCCCTCCCTCCCTCCCTCCCTCCCTCCCTCCCTCCCTCCCTCCCTCCCTCTCTTCTTTTCTTTGTGTAGCCCTGACTGCTGTCTGCCCTGGAACTAGCTCTATAGACCAGGTTGTCCTTGAACTCACAGATATCCACCTGCCTCTGCCCCCGAAGTGCTGGGATTAAAGGTTTGTGCCACCACCTTCCAGTCTTTTATTTTCTTTTATGCTGGTGACTGAGTCCAGGACCTTGTGCAACCACTCTTTCCCTTTTCTTTTTGAGCTGTCTCTAGGCAGTGTAAAATTTTATACTTGAACTTTCTAACCAGAATGTATTGTACTTTTTGTTTGTTGACTTTAACTTTGGAATTTTTGAATCCTTATCATCAATTTCATAATGTATGTTTGACTTAAATATAAAATAGATTAGAGTTTGTGGATAAATTGGGTGAAAGATAATTAAAAAGTTTGTATTTTTTGTACTAATTAAAGTGCATTTCTTAATTTTAAGGAAAATGAGGGTTACTTAGAAGAATTCTGTTATAGTTAACTTTTTTTTTTGTTCAGAATTACTAGAATAGCACAAAGTTATGTCTGGCCGTATCCGATATTAGCAATTCTGTGGAACAACTTGAGGCCTCATGTACTACTGGCAGGAGTATAAATTACCATCATCATTTTTGAAACTACTTAGAAATAGCTGCTTAAACTGGGCATGCACATAACCTCATGACCAAACACTTCTAGTCTTGGATTCATATCCAACAAAAATAATCACATATGTCTTTCAACTGGCTTGTCTAAATATATTCATATCAGCACTATACTTAGTCACCTAAACTGTGGTTTCCACTAATGAGCTGTGAGGCTTTAGTGAATATTTAAGAATAATATATCATAGATTCAGCCCTCCAGAATAGTTAAAATGTTCAGTCTTTCTTAGGTGAGGTTAAAAAAAAAAAAGTTGAGTTTCTTCTCTCTAGTACATAATATATTGGAGTAAGACTGAGGCCATTTATCATAAACTTGCATATTTCCCCCTTCTTTCCAAAGGAATTGTTGATATGTTAATTTCTACTTTTATTCCTTTTCCACTAATAGGGAAAGAGGAAGGTTTATTTTTACTTTAATTTTATTATTATTATTATTATTATTATTTTTTTTTTTTTTCTTTTAAGACAGGTTTCTCTGCATAGCCCTGTCCTAGAATTCACTCTGTAGACCAGGCTGGTCTTGAACTCAGAGATCTTTCTGCTTCTGCTTCCCAACTACTCGGATTAAAGTAGCTACTTTTTACTAAAGTAAGGAATGTGTAAGAAATTAATTTATTTTTAAGATATAATTGCTAACTTCAGTTCTTCTGTCTTTGCTTAGGTAATGGAACTGTTGGTCCATCTGAACAAACGTATAAAAAGCCGACCCAAAATACAACTCCCAGTAGAGACACTATTGGTTCAGTACCAGGACCCTGCAGCAGTTTCCTTTGTCACAGTAAGAGTTATTTTGTTTTTTGTTTTTTTTTTTTTTTTTTTACTTATATTAAGTCTTCTTAATGTTTATTGATATCATCAATGTATATTGGTAAGCTTAGAATTTCATTCTTAGACTATACGTAACAGAAACATTTTTTTCTTTAAATATACTGTTTTTTCACAGAATACTGATTCATAGGTAATGCTGCTTCAAAGAAAATTATAGGAATATGGTAATGTGAATTTATATTGAGTAAAGAAATGTTGGAGAAATGACTGTCAGGCATTTAATCATAGACCCTGAACAAGTTAATCCATTGAAATTAAGAGGAGAAGAGGGGTTATCAGATGTTGGAAAAAGGTTAATTACTAGGTTCAAAGTTAGAGAGCAGGAACTTCTGCTGTACTGTTGCCCAGTTAATGTGAATTTAGGTAACAAGCTGATACTTTGTATTAAACAGCTAGAGGTTCCCATTGTGGTGGTGGGACCTGCAGTCACATTGACTTGTTAAGTAGAGACAGGAGTATTGCTTGAGCTCAGAAATTCAAGGCTAGCCTGAGCAACATAATGGGATGTTCTTGAAAACAAGCACAGGAACAACAAAACAACTTGCAGAAATCTAGGGGGAAAAAGGCTTTTCAAGGTTTTGCCTTAATGAAATGATAGATATTTAAGGATATGTTTAACCTAATGGAAACATTATATAATATATACATATATTAAAATGTAACATGGTACTCTGTAATATGTGTAATTAAAAAAATTATGGTAGTGGGGATTAAACCCAGGGCCATTTGCATGTACGTAAGGCAAGTATGGTGCTGAGCTATATCCTCAGTCCAATGTGTTTATGTAAATAACAGTAATTTGATTTTTAGTATATGAGACAAATCTGAATAAAGAGAAGGGTTACAGCACATAGGCATTATAAAGCAATACTGTTTGTTGTGTGTATTCAAAAGATACTCTTTTCTGTAGTGGAGTAAACCTGAGACTGGCAAGTATTCTTCTTCATTCCATTTCATAAAACAAAATGTAAGAAATGTTGATGTTATATGAAGACAGTATTTTTCTTGGTTCTTGTGATTTTTAATGATGGGGCAATGTTTGCTAAATTGCTTTATCAGGAGTCACAAAACTGTTGGATGTGTTGTGGCTAATTTTGGCATACAGTTCCATGCAGATTATATCTTTCTGTTAAGCCAATATAAATATTGAGGCCCAATAACTGTGCCAAATAGAAGGCCTTACTTATGAAGCCTGTTCATTTTTGTGATGAATCCTTCAGATAAGCAGCTCTATCTTATGTGTAAATATGGATTTTGTCATGGATTTGCTACAGTTGTGCATTTTGCATGGGTTATAGAGCTGCTGATAACATGTGCAGCACTCAGCTTCTTTGGCTCATGTGTCATCCATTGCAGAGTTGCCACTGAAGTGAGGAACTGTAGTTTCAGTCACTGAGCATTTGGGAAATGGAAAACTGGGGTTTGTTAGTATGTGTGTACGATTAATACAGCAATTTGGGAGATGTGATGATAATGTAGATTTAGTTGAATTCTTCTTCTAATTAATAGTAATTGCGCACATGACTACTTTAGGTTAACTATAAAAAGCCTACTTTAAAACAGTTTGAATAAGTAGTGCTTGGATTCTTCCCCTAATACATAGTATTTTGATTAAGCTGTAATGAACCTTTGGAGAGGATGATTCTTGTGATGTTTTTTGTTATACATTCTTGTAATCATATTTTTTCTTTCATGCTCACTTGCTTTTCTCTTACTGCATTAGAATTTCACTATAATTTATGTTAAGATGGGCTATCCTCGCCTGCCAGTGGAAAAACAATGTGAATTGGCCCCTACACTTCTTACTGCCATGGAAGGGAAGCCTCAGCCACAGCAGGATAGGTATGACTTCCTCATTTACCTGTTTCCTATCTGCAAGAGTCAGCAACTAACTTTCTTTCAAATATAGGTCATTTGCTTTCAAAGACTTGAGCTCATTTAGCTGAAAGATAGTTGAATTTTCTGTTACTATTTTACTAATAGCATTATGAAAGTTCCTGATGTAAACATTGAAAAATGTCTATGACTAATGACACTTTTCTAAATCTAACTAACTGCTTCAGTTTTGGTCATTTGTTTTTAAGTGGTTAATTTATGTGATGTTAAAAAAATCTTTTTCATTGAGTTTGGAGAGATGGCTCAGTGCTGGAGATCACTGGCTGCTCTTTCAGAGAACCCACATGGTGGCTCACAGCCATTTGTTAATTCAGTTCTAGAGGATCCAGCACCGTTTTCTGGCCTCTGGACATTAGGTTATCCTTGTGGTGTACAGACATACATGTAGACGAAATATCATGCTTGTATTAAATAATTAAAATGAACGTTTTAATCAAAACATTTCTGTCTGAAGGATAAATATTTCTCAGCAATTTTTGGAGGCAATAGATTATTATTAATATAATATGTTAATATAGACTTTGGAAAAGTGGAATGACTTAGATGTGGGCTTAGTGGAAAGATCTGTATCTCAGACCTGTCAAGGAGAAAGATGTTTCCAGTTTGATTTACTTACTAATGGATTGATCAATTTATTGATAATGGTGTTGGGGATCAAATCTAGGGCTTCACAAACTCAGAGCAAATGACTATAGGTGTTTACAAGGAAAATTAATTGCAATTAAATTTTTATTGAAAGGATATATGGAACTTTTATCTGAAATTTAATATAAAGCACCTTTTGGTAACATCAAAGCTATTATATATATATATTTCCCAGATTTTTAAAGTAATGAACAGCATTGGCTAAATGCCAATTATCACTTAATATTTTGAGTTTTTTTTTTGTTTGTTTTTAAACAGGGTTTCTCTGTGTAGTCCTGGCTGTCCAGAGCTTGCTCTGTAGGTCAGGCTGACCTTTAACTCAGAAATCCACCTGCCTTTGCCTCCTGAGTACTGGGATTAAAGGCATGCACCTCCATGCCCAGCTTACTACTTGGAAATTTTTAATTTTTTTTTTGAGACAGGATCTCTCTTGCCCTGACTGTCCTGGAACTCGCTTTGTAGACCAGGCTGGTCAGAATCATAGAGATCTGCTTGTCTCTGCCTTTCGGGTGCTGAAATTAGGAAATCAAGACTTCTACCTAAATTAGGATATTGTACATAATTGGTACCAAAAATGAATAGCTCCTGATATAATCGACAACTTTTATTAATTGTTCTTTTTTCTATCTGCCATTTGCATGTATTAAAATTGATTTATTAAGAAGCTTCAATAAATATAATTTTTCTTTCAGCTTAATGCATCTTTTAATACCAACCCTTTTTCACATGAAATATCCAGCTGAGTCATCAAAATCAGCTTCTCCTTTTAATCTTGCTGAGAAACCAAAGACTGTGCAGCTGCTTTTGGACTTTATGCTAGATGTCCTTCTGATGCCTTATGGGTGAGTTAAAAAAGACAAATGAAACCAAGCAATGTTATTTTTTATTGAGTTTACTACATGGGAATTTGGAGCTATTTTAAATGATTTAGCTCACTTGTGAATGGATGCATTTCTGAGGATTTGCATCAGTCTTAGATGCTAAGGTCTAGCTCCTACATATTGACTGTGTAGATGTTGAACTGCTGTTGTGATTTCAGACTTCACCTGTCCCAGGATGAAATGAATGTTGTGTTGTGTCTTCTAGCATCTTGTACCCTTTGGAAATCACACCCTGCTTTTCTTTTTATAGTTTCCTTTCTCCTTGATGTCCTGAAATCTCTTTGCACTGCTGCCATTTAGTTTTGGACCTATGTAACTCTTGCCTACAATTTTGTTCTCACCTCTTTGTTGTTGTTGTTTGTTTGTTTTTCCCCCTAGACAGGGTCTCTATGTAGCTTCAGAGCCTGTTCTGGAACTCAGTCTGTAGACCAGGGTGGTCTTGAACTCACAGAGATTCACCTGCATCTCCCTCCTGAAATTAAAGGTGTGTACCACCACTGCCCGGCCACCTCTTTGTTTTTTATCTCAGTTTTTTAGTTAGTATACAGAATAGGGGGCTTCACTATGACTGCTTAGTTATCCCTATCATGTCTTCAAACTTCTCTACAATGCTGTAGAACTACCTGATTTCTAGCATAAATCTTAATGCACATTTTACAAGTGTTTTCTCAGAAGCCAGTCATTATATGCATTTAGGTGGCTCATACTCCCCTCCAAATATTTGTCATCTTATTCTTTAAGGCATTTTAGTTAGTTCTCGCTTTAGGATATTTTTCCACAGAAAAACTGACAACAGAGTCACTTTAGAAAATATTTCTTACTGTCTTGATGTCAACTCTGTGTCTCTGACGTTTCTTATCCTATGTAGATATATTTGCTCTATTTTCTGTGTTCTCATACCCCCAAGAACCACCTGCATTCTACAATGTGTTTTTTATCACATTGTTGACATCTTCATCTTTCTTAATAGATTGTCAGTCCCTTCCAGTCAAGATGTGTTCTTTTCAAATTAATTTTTATTTAAATTAAAAACTTATTTTACACACCAATCACAGTTCCCTCTCCCTGCTGTCCTCCCATTGCCCCCTACCAACTCCCCATTCCACTCCCCCATCCAGTTCTCAGGGAGGGAGAGGCCTCCCATGGGGGAATCATCAAAATCTGCCACATCATTTGGGGCAGGACCTAGGCCCTCCTCCTGCGTATCTAGGCTGAGAGAGCATCCCTCCATAGGGAATGGGCTCTCAAAGCCCATTCATGCACTAGGGATAAATACAGGTTACACTGCCAGAGGCCCCATAGACTGTACAGTCCCCCCCCCCCAGTTGACACCCACATTTAGGGGGCCTGGTTTATTCAAGATGTGTTTATCAAACACATCTTTGGAATTTGGCCTAGTTTCCAGATTATGGCCTGCCACCAGCCTATTGGTTTTATCCTGTTGCCAGCAATAGTTTTCTGAAGTGCTACTTGCATCATCCTCTTTTCCCTGATCTTGAGTGCATATGTACATAGAGGGCCAAGCAAATGGAGCTGCACTTCATCTGTCTCAATGCAGAGACCGGAGTGCTCAGGCTGTATGATTCGCTCTCTTCCAGTTTGCTATTCTTCAGCTCCTCCAGTTTCATAACTTGTTTTTTTTTATTATTATTATTTTTACTTTTTATTTAATATTTTTTCTTATTTTACATATTGATCCCAGTTCCCTCTTCTTCCCTCCCATGCCCTCTGACCCCCCTCCCATTCCATCCCTCCTCCTATCCCTACCCCTATTCCACAGGGAGGATGAGGACTTCCAGGAGGGATCAGCAAAATCTGTCAAGTCATTTTGGTGTAGGGACTCCCTCTTGTCTCTAGGCTAAGAGAGTATCCCTCTATGGGGAATGTGCTCCCAAAGTCCTTTTGTGCACCAGGGATATATCCTGGTTCCACTATCAGAGGTCCTCTAGACTGCCAAGGGCTTCTTACTGAGTTGTTATAATGCTGGTTTCCCAGTTATCAGTCTGGGGGGGGGGGTCCATGAGCACCTATGGTTATGGCGGTATAATCTCCCCGAAAAGAACCAATAACTGGGAACCAAGTGTGAGCCCATGTAGACATTGTCATTCAAATGACCACAGCTTCCAAGTGTTTTCTTTAATTATGCTGAGAGTTTCAATATCCATTATAACCAGATTTGTTAGGTTGGAATTATACTGTTGAAGGGATTTTTAACTAATAATTGTATCAAAAATTTATTTTGATTGTGACGAATACTTGTTTTAAGTGGATCAAAATGAATTCATTAGGGATCTTATATCTTTTCTCTACAAGTTAAAGGTAAATAAGTTAACAATAATGATATACAAAGTGCTTTGAATATATAATGAGAAAATTCTTATTTTTTTTCTGACTTTGTACTTTTAAAACTTTATTATTACTATTTGTGTATATGGGCATGACATGTGTGGAGGTCAGAGGGCAATTTTGTGGAGTAGTTCTCTTTTTCTACTTTTAGTGGGTTTCAGGACTCAAACTCAGGTTGTCAGACTTGTGTGATAGATAAGTACCTTTACCTATTGAGCCATCTTTCTGGCCCCAACCTTTTTTCTTTGAGCCTTTTACTTTTTTAAACTGTTATAATGTTATGTACTTATATGTTGGCAGTTTGTCAAAGGCTTCAATGAGTTTTCTGATGTGAGTTACAAAGAAAGGAGAATAACTATAAAAGCTCTGTTTGGATTATAGAACATCCGTGACCATATGCCTTGTGGGGTCAACAAACTTGTGTCTGTATTTGTTAGTTATAAGTCAAAATGAAGTGAGTCTTTACTAATTTATCAGACAATAATGTATATATGGAAATGGTACAGATATTTTGTACTCACTATTGTTAAGTGTTGTAATTCATGTATAACTGCCTTGAGTGATAGGTTCTTCTGATTAATTTGCTGAGGATCTAGATACCTTTTCTTAGGGTACCTTTAAGCTTCTTTACGTTGCTGGGCAGTGGTGGCACACACATTTTATCTCAGCACTCAGGAGGCAGAGGCAGGTGGATCTCAGGTTGAGGTCAGGCTGGTCTGTGCAGCAAGTTCCAGGAGACCCTACACAGAGCAATCCTGTCTCAAACAGATAGATTCTTTATGTTGGAATTTTTATTTTGGTTGTTCTTCTAGCTTGTCAACCTTCCTAATTCTGTGACCCTTTAATACAGTTCCTCATGTTGTAGTGGCCCCAAGCATAAAATTATTTTACATCATAGCTGTAATTTTGCTGCTGTTATGAAGCATAATGTAAATATCTCTGTTTCTCAGTGGGTTTAGACAGCCCCTGTGAAAGGGTCATTTGACTCCCAAAGGGGTCATTACCCATAATTTTAGAATTGCTGTTTTATATACTACTATATAGGGACAGAATGTGACTTGACTTGTTTTATGAATATATGTGCATATATACAAATGCACGTATTTTTATTTCCTTTCCAGATATGTGTTAAATGAATCCCAGAGTCGCCAAAATTCATCTTCAACACAGGGTTCGTCTTCAAATAGTGGGGGAGGTTCTGGAATCCCACAGCCTCCCCCAGGAATGAGCTTTTATGCAGCTAAGCGAGTTATTGGTGATAACCCATGGACACCTGAACAGTTGGAACAGGTATCACACAGTTTGCTCATTGTGGGAGTTGGCCTTGAACACTTGTCCCTATGAGGTTCATGGAAGCATGTGCAGTGTAATTCCTGAGGTTCTCTAAAGAATATGTTTGAAAGGAGCAAACAATACAACATGTTTTTTTCTTCTGCTTGTTTTCTGTTAAGTCCTAGGGAAAGGGAGGAGTGGGAAATGATCCTAGTCTTTCAAACATTGCTCACATCTTTCCAGTGTTATTCACACCCATTTTTATTTGAGCAGATTTAGTTTTCTGTCATTTCAATTTCTAATTAAGGTCTTAATAATTACTTAGCTCCTTTGATGCAGTTAAATTACAATTTATCTTACATTATTTATTCAATTTTTAGGAATGTACATTTTGTGTAAAGTGAGGAACCTCTATACTTCACAAGTGAAATGTGGGGAAAAGCATGACTCCCTTTTATATTTCTTCTTGGGGTTTTAAAAATTGGCATTAAGAATTTTATTCTGGATTTAAACAGGACACAGATGTTCTCTGAGCAGCTTTTAAAAATGACTGGTGCTCTACAGAGAAGGTGCCTCCCTGTGTCTGTCATCAGGCACCTCAGGGAAGAACAGAAATCAGTATGTAATTTTTTTGGAATTCAAGCAACATGGGTTAGTCTTCCAATCCTTTTATTTCTCCATAGCAGTCTCAATGATTTGATCCTTTTCTTTTTGGGATTGTAAGTGACCATTGATCAAAAGTGTTCCCAGGAGAGGGAAAAAGAAGCAAGAGGGGCATTCTTGCTACTCAAAAATTATAAGTGTGTTATATTCAATGATGGTTGTAATTGATTAGATTTACTTAATGCTTGTTCACTGCCTGTTTTCCCTCCTTGAACTGTATATGAGGAAGGTAAATAGAATAGAAGCTACTCTATTGAATGTGACCTGTGGCAGGTTCTATACTGTGTAGTTTGAGTACATTATCTCATTTAATCCTCACAGCAACTAATGAGGTTTGAAATTGAGCTCCTTTTTTTAAAAGGACACTGAGATTTTGAGATTCATGAGGATTTCACTTCTTACTAGACTTTGAACCTAGTCTTCTCTGAGGCATAAATCTGTATATACTGGAGAGTATTAATTATTGTTATTGTTCACTTATTGACTTAAGTTAGTTATTTGCTGAATTTAAAGGTCTCTGTATATATTTCTTTCTGTTTCATAATCTAATGTTAAAATGAATAGTTAAGCTTTAAAAATGAAAACTTCTTATTTTTGAATACATTTTCTTACAAATTATTCAACTTTTTTTTTTTTTTTCCTAGTTATAAAGGTAAAGGTTTAAGTACTCAGGAATAGAATCATAGGGTTCTGGATATATAAATTGGTCGATAAGAGTGCTTACCCAGCATGCATGAAGTGGTGATTGACTCCTGGCACTCCATAACTAAGACTTTATGGCAAGGAGGATCAAGATGTTCAAAGTCATCCTTGCCTACAACATAGTTCATTTGAGACCCTGTCTCAAACAAAACAAAACAAGCCCTACAATACCGCTCAGTGATACCATGCCTAGTAGGCAGGCAGGCAGGCTTAGGACCCGGAGTGCAATCCATATCACTTTAAGGATAACAAAAAGTTAAAAATCACCTATAGATCTGACTTCCTAGTTAGCGCTTTCTCCTTTTGCTCTCTCTTATTCTCTCTCTCTCTGTATGTTTGTATGGACAGTTTTTATATGATATATCTTTACTTGTCACATAATAGTCTTTTTACTAAATAGTCTTTGGGGATTTTTAAAAAACCTGTTCTTTTCATTGGTTGTGTAAAATTTGTTCATGTATTTTAACTTATTGATGAGAATATGTAGTTTTCAGTTTTCCTTTATACATTTTTCTTTTTGCCATGTATTGTGTGTTCTATAACGATGCTTTTGCAATTTATGTTAATAATTCCTTCCCTTTTCAAACTGTATCTCTTAGAAGAAAGTTATGTTGAGCAGGGAGGAGATGTAGGTCTTTTTGTGATCAGTTGCACTGTTTTATTGGCATTCTTTTTCATTTAATAGTATATCTTATCATTCCTAATTTATGTATCTGAGAACTATTATGTAACTGCTTTTTAAAGTAAAGATACAGCTTTGCATTTTAGGTGTATTTGACCCAGAATGATTTGTACTGAAATTCATACATAACTCTTCACATTTCAGGAAGTTCTTCTTAGACTCTTTGTTGTATTTCATTGAGATTGTTGGATTAAATACTACTGTTGGATTAGAATTGGTCTCGGATTGACTAGAGTTTGTTTGAAATCATAATTTCTGTTTTTAGTATCTTAAGAAAGTAAAGGACCAGAATGTATATCTTAGCAATAGAGTAAAACTCTGGAATATGAGGTATTCATATGTTCTTTTTCTCATAAACATTTATAGAGCACTTTGTTCTTAATGCATCATCACCTTTTACCTGGTAACTACAGATGGAGATTTAAGTCCTCATCAGTCTAGGAAGGTCGTGTAACCTTAGTAGGGAGATTTTTATCATTGTTTTGTTGTCAGAGACTTATCTTTGAAGCCTGCCTTAATCACTTACTGTGTATTTTAATAGCTTAAACCTTGTTCAGTTTTTTCACCTAAAAACATCTATAATAACATCTACCTCATAGATTGTGAGGGTTAAATGAAATCATCAGTAGTTACGATTTAGTATAGTGTCTGGTACATTATAAACCTAAGTAGGAGCTCCTACTGTTACACTAATCCATGGCTTATGACCATGTTGATATGTTAAACAATACTTTTAGTGAGTGTTCTCTGTTTCCCTAACCATTCTTTCTCTTTCCCTTCACTTACCTACAGTGCAAATTGGGCATAGTGAAATTTATAGAAGCTGAACAGGTGCCTGAACTTGAAGCCGTTCTCCACCTGGTGATTGCTTCTAGCGATACACGCCATAGTGTGGCAACAGCAGCAGACCTGGAATTGAAAAGCAAGCAGAGGTAATTAGTCCTTGTTAAGCTTTCAAAATTGAAAGGCCAGAATTCCTAAAGCTTTGCAGGGTTTTATGGAATGAGGTATTCAGCTTAGGAAACTAAGACACATACTTAATTTGTAAGTAAAGTTTACCTGAGTACAAAATTTTGTGTTAGAGGAAAAAAGCTATTTGAAAATGCATTTCTAAGCTGAAGTAGGTTAGGAATGCCATCATAAGAAACAAAACTTTTGGCTAGGCAAATAAACTAAAAGTTAATATTAAAAATATTAGAGAAGTAATTATTTTTTTAATTCTTCTGTCTTAAACCAATTGAGATCACTTTTAATAATGGATGTATATATATATATTGTAGTTACTATAGTAGAAACTAAGTTTATGGAAAAAATTGCTGAATAAAACAATTGAAAAGAGATACAAAGAGTATAAATTGTATGAAATCAGAATCAATGGAAAATGAACAGTGAACTACCAGTTTGTACCTATGATTCAGTACATGTATATAGCTGCTGGTAAATCCATTTAAGTCTGCAGAAGTGCTATAGTGAATCATGAAAAAAATATTTATACACATTAAGTCTAGGAATTTATCATCTAATATTCAAAAGAAGAAAAATACATTTACAAATGATACAACTTTACTTGCTATATTATGTCCTATAGTTATTGAAAAATGAAAACAAATTAAATTTTCCACAATAGGGACAAATTACTGTACAGACTATTGTGTTTCTTTCAAAATTTAAAGAATGATATAGCAATATGGAAAGTGCTCCTCAAATAATAGTAAATAAAATGGGGTACAAAATGATATAATCTAATTATAAAATTTTAAATAAGTATATAGATTGAAGAATAATTTAAAAATGAATCTATTTGGTTAAAAAACAAAATCAAGCTAGACATTAGTGGCTCATATTTATAATCTCAGCACTTGGGAGAAAGGAGTAAGAAGATTATAAGTTCAGAGTTAGCTTTTGCTAATAGTGAGATCCTGTCTGTATATTTAAAATTCATATCATGAGGTTTTGTAATAGATTTATGAATTTTGAGGTGGTCTTTTTATATAGCTTAGACTGCCCTTAGTTTCCCTGCCCCTCTGCCTGTGCCTACTGAGGATTACAGGTGTTTGGTACCATGTGCAGAAGGTTGAATGAATATATTTTGTTAAAATAACATGTTACAAAACAGAGGTGTAACATGAATAATATAAACCCAGAGACAGATATTGGGCTCAAGTTGAAGATCAGAAAAGCAAAACAACCAAACCAGTAACTGTTACCTCTACCTCAGACCGAAAAAGATGATCCTGTCTTCATAAATCCTTAGGGTGCAGTGCTCTTCACTAAACCTCATACTGCAATCCTATATTACTATGCTCTCCTCCACATGGCTGGAGAATAAATTTCTGAGACTGAATACTGAATGTCCTGCTCCTATTTTATATACCTCTGGGATTAAAGGCATGGGATCCCAAGTACTGAGAACTCCTTTGTGTGAACTATTTATCTTTTAGACTCATTCACTTCAGTGTAACCCTAGTTAGCCTTGAATTCACTCCTGTCTCCTGAGTCCTAGGATTAAAGGTGTGTGTCACCACTTCCTGGCCTCTTTGTCTAGCTAGTATGGCTGCTGGGATTAAAGGTGTGTATCATCACTACTGCCTGGCTCTATGGCTGTGGCTAGCTTTGCATTTTGATCCCTAGTGGATTTATTAGATTGTAAGCAATATATCACCCACATAGAGGAATATGGAAAATGTCATAAAACTTTTATAAATGTATTATTTTACTTTGCTCCCTCCAAGAAGACCAGTGTAAGGAGGTATAATTAAAAAAAAAAAAAAGGAAATGAACTTGATGGGCTTGTTTTCCCGTTGAAAACTTTGGGTGGGTAATGGTGGTGACTGTGAGTAACTTACCACTGGTGGGCATATGAGATGGTATATAGCAGGACTTCTTAAACTTCTTTTCATGATTCTTTTTTTTTTTGTTTTTGTTTTTGTTTTTTCATGATCCTTTTTGTTCAAGGATTTTTTTTTAATGTGATGCGGGTATTTAATGTATTAATAGATTAGCAAATCAGATATTTGCTGGTAATAAATCATAAACTTATTTTAAAATAATGTTTGCTATGCATAATAATTTTTCATTTTTCTATTAATAAAATGAATGTGCTTGTTCATTTTTTTTTAACTGTTTAAAAGTTCCATTTATTTCTCTCAAGAAAAATATATGTACTTGTCAAAAAGTTCTATCTGTGTTTCCTGTTAGAAACCTGTTTATTGCAAGAGTAGAGCTAAAACAAAAATGGTTTAAACATTTTTGCTCTCCAATGCTAATAGCCCTCATCTCAATATTTATCTCTGAGCACTGGTCATTAAATTCAGATTATCAGAAAATCAGATGTCCTTTTAATGTAGATGACATTAATACTGTTTTATGTCTAATGCTGTTAAAAATTGAAACCAGTTAAACTGTTACAATTAGTAACACTGGAAATTAACATAAATTTAACAGTCACTCAGGTCATAATGGGTTTAAAGACATAAAGGGTGCTTAAATTTGATATTACAAAAACAAATTACAGGATGTTTCATTGTTTTATAAGACAGTTTTTAAATGTTTAAATTCAGAAAGTTACAATTTATTTGTGCTTCTATTACATTGTTAATGTTTGTAGTTAAATCAAAGTGCTAAAATTTAAGATCACAGCCATACAGTGTATATACTAACCAAAAGTTGAGATGCTCATATTTTATGATGCAGAAGGGAATCCATCATTGTTTTTGCTAAATTTGGAAGCATAAGTTATTTAGATAAACTGAGTCACACAGCAGTTTTATGTTTCCCTAAAAGGAGTTTCAAAATAAAATCAGTATTTTTAAAGCTAAAACTGACAATGCAAAGTTCTAGTTTTATTTTTTTTTATGCATATAGAGTATTTTTTATTTAATTTTATATAACAAAGTCCAATTAAATGAAAACAAACATTTATACACAATATTTGGGAATTTGGGCGTCGTTCTTTCCAAACTACTTCCTGCTGGTAAGGGGCGCTGTCTTGGGGGATTCGAAGAAGATTCAGATATCCTAGCTGTAGTCTGTAGGGCTGTTTTGTCCAGCTGTTTGGAATGTAGGATCAGCTTGTACTCTGTTTCAGGCGGTCTGGTGTGATCAAACCACATTAGTCTGGAAGGAATCCACATCTTTTTATTTTCTGTGGAAACAAAAATAGAAATACTTTTCCCCAGTAACTTGTTCTTCAACTTAAATTTTGGAGTCAAAGCTTTTTTTTTTTTTTTTTTTTTTTTTATTATTATTATTTTACATGTCGATCCCAGTTCCCTCTCCCTCCCTCCCTCCCTCCCTCCCCCCAAGCCCTCCCTCCCTCCTTCCCTCCCTTTTGCCCTCTCTACCCTCTCCCATGCACTCTAAACACCCTCCCCTCCCAACCCCCCACCACAATACAATATGTAGGGGAATGCCATCCAGTTGGGGTCATGTAGATCTGACAGGTCCTGTGAAGTAGGGACTAGGGCTTCTCTCCTATCTCTAGAATAAGGCAGTTATCCCTCCATGGGGGATATGTTTGCAAAGTCCTTTTGTGCACCAGGGATACATCCTGGCTCCACTGTCTGAGGTCTCTTAGACTGCTCAGACCTTCTGGCTGAGACCCATATTCAGGGGGGTCCGAGTCAGACCCCTGTTGGCTTCCCAGCTATCATTCTAGTGGCCCTTAGCTCCTCCTTGTTCAGGTAAGCTGTCTCTATGTACTTCTACCACATGGTCTTGTCCTCTCCATCTGCTTCTGGGTTCTAGTTTGACTCAGTGTTTATGTATGGGTGTTTGCTCCTGTTTTCAACAGGCATTAGTTGAGGACTCCATGGAGAAGTTAGTTGTTGATCTCACTCTCCGGGAAGGGCATTTATGATGTGCTTGTTCATTTTTATACAAACAACAAAGTCTTGGCTGAATTACCTTAAGACAGAGCAACTTTAACCTGCTTCAGGGTTGATTACAATTTTGATTTTACAATGGTTACTGCAGGGAACACTGCTTTACATAAATATTCAGTACAAAATGGAAGAAGTAATTTTAAGACATTTAGAAATTATTAGAAAGTCTGTCCTAATCCTAAACCAAAACCCATGTTAATAATTTTTTTTAAAGTTTAACTTAAGTCACCAACTTAACAAGTTTTAATCAAATATTCTAACATGATATTATTCAAAGATAGACTGATTTGATTTTGCATACTGAGGAATGATGGTAGGACACTAATAGAAGTTTTATTTTCTGTATTTCAGTCATTTTCTATGAGAGATGGAATGTAAAATAAGAACAGTAAAATTTATATCGTATGCTGGTCTTTAATATGAGGCAAGGGGTTTCATTCAGTGTTTGTGTTGTGTAGACTGACATGTACACAGCAATATCTGTATGTTGAACATTCAAAGAAAAGGCTGCAGGGATGCTGCATGGTGCAGCATGAGTCATTACTACCAGAAACACTGGATTCATTACATTTGATTTTGAGTGAATTTTTGGTTGTTCCATGTTTAGAAACTTTATTGCTCAAAATTTGTTATGACCCCATATTTGGTAATGTGATCCCATCTTGACCCGCAGTTTAAAGAGAGAGACATAGAGGAGTGGTAGTTACTATCTTATTTTTGTCCATGTCTTTTATTGATTGAATCTGAGAGCCAAGCTTAACCTTGCCAGACTAGAGTGAGAAAATTGGACTACATCTTTTTCTAACATTCTTTGAATTCTCAAGTTTATTTATTGCTTATAACTTGGAATAGTTCTGATACCCATTTAAGAGATTTAGTTTTGGAGTGCTAAAACATTCTTCATTCACGACATTTCATTAAGTTTGAACTGGCCCCACTCTATATACCATGTTGTAGATTTGATTGTTGAAAATACAAATGTAATTCTTAGGTATATAAATTAATTTTGTTTAGGATAAAAATGTGTATATCATAAAATTACAGTGAGAGATAAAACATTTGTGAGGAAAACACATAGGTGAAAGAAAAAAAAGCTCAAAGTATCTTTACAAATATTGTTTCTGTTCTTTTTCTACCCCACCCCCCCCAGCTGTACTGTCAACCTGTTAAGAGTCTGGAAAAAGATACAACAAAGTCAATGGTTGTCATGTTGAAAAGAAATAACAATATAGTTCAGTTTGAAAGAAAATTTGTTTTCTGTATTTCTGGACATTTTATAACAAATACATAGTCACAAAAGTAAACCTTACAAAGATTAGTACAGCAAAATAAAAGAAACAGTGAAAAAATTTTTCTCTGGTTTAATCACAACTAGGTATTTAGTTTGCTTTCCTAAACTATTTTTTTTGTTTTGCTGAATTTTTCAAAACCTGAAAATTTTATAAAAGGGAAATAATGGTAGAAATTGATTAATTAGCATCAAAAAGCTGATAAAAGATGTAGGTGAATAGTACTAAATTTGAAATGTAATATGCCCTTGAGAATGGTGGGATTGTGGATAGCCAAAGACGAGGCAGATTGATTAGGTATGATGGAAGAGATGGATCAAAAATGCAATTGAGTAGCATAACTAAATGGTTTTCACACAAACACCACTTAAGTGGAAAGCAGAACCAGTGTTCAGAGTCAGAGAGGAGATAATATGTGAGAACTTCAGCAATCAAATTAAAGATTTTATTATTATTAGGTTTACAAAATGAGTGAATGAGTCCCATTGTGATGGTGATAGGTACTGTATCCCAACTCACCCTTTTTTCTATATCTCAAATAGGAATGAGTCTCTGTGACAAATGGCATTGTAAATTGTCAGATTTAGAAATTGAAACTATTAGGCTAGGTAATGAATTGCATGACACCAGGAATCAAATAACAATATTGGAGAAATACAATAGGTTATAGGTTTCCTATGGTGTGACTATTTGAAGCATAAAACTATTTTTGTTGTTATTGTTTTCAAATCATGAATGGTTAAACAGAAGCATCAACCACTACTCCAGAGACTTTAGTACAAGTGTAGTATATGTCTGCTCTGCCAGCCTGCTCCATAGTATTGGCCCTGACCCACCTGTGTAGAAGAAACTTGGTTCAGTCTCTCCCACCTCCCACCCCCGTGGTGCCAAGTTGGACATTGGCTACAGTAATCTGTTGAATCAAAATGGAAGAACTGGAATGAATGATTTGTAGTTTTTAGAGCTGACTTTGATAGTAGTCCCCTTCATTTCTTCTCTTCCATAGTGTCAGTTATTCATTCTATTTGTGTGTTTCTGACATTTTTCTCTGATGACAAATATTAGGGTTATTATTTTTTTAAATCATGGAAATGGGAACAAAAGTAATTTTAACCATCTCTTTTGAAACCTCCCATAGTTTAATTGACTGGAATAATCCTGCCATCATTAATAAGATGTACAAGGTATACCTCGGGGATATACCACTGAAGACAAAAGAGGTAAGTTGCGCTGATTTAGTGTCATATTAGTATAACAAACATTGTATTTTTCCCCTACTTAGTTTTAAACTAAATCCATGCTTTATGAAATGCTAGTTTTAATCCATGTTTATCTATGTGAATTAAACTCCCAAAAAGTGATTTTAAAATATCTGGTGTTTTCAATGTACATGTATAAATAATAAAGACACATTATCTAGATGAGGGATTCACAAACTTTTTCTGCAATTGTTGTGGGCTTTGTAGGCATTATAGCCCTGAGGCTATAGCAACTCAACTCTGAAACATGAAAAGAAGCAATAGGTAGTATATAACTGAATGGACATGGTTGTGTTTCAATAAAATTGTGAATTTTGATACTTGAATATCATACAATTTTCATGTGCTACAGAATGTTATTTCTTTTTTTCCATTTAAAAATATAAAAGCAATTTTTTAAACTCAACAAATAATTTTGAGATGCCTTATATAATCAAATATGTTTTTTTTCCCCAGGGAGCAGTTCTAAAGCCAGAGCTGAAAAGAGACCCGGTCAGTACCAGAGTGAAGTTAAAGATTGTCCCTCATCTCCTTCGTTCTAGACAAGCTGCTGAGACATTTCCAGCTAACATTCAGGTAATTTGTATTGTTCAAAGAAGAGACATGGCTTCAACAAATAGCTTTACTTAGAAAAAAAAAATGGTATTAATGGATATTCAGGAAGTTTGTTTATATAACAAGACTAACAATTTAATTTCTAACTTATCTATATAAATTATTTTGTAAAATTGTATTACTATATATATATATATATACACATATTCATACAGATCTATCTATCTATCTATCTATCTATCTATCTATCTATCTATCTATCTATCTATCTTATGGTTTCCATTTACTTTACATATGTGGTGGTAACTCCATTCTGAGTAGTTTTTGTGATTGCACAGCACCATAAGAAATTAAACATTCGTGTGTGTGTGTGTGTCTATCTTTTCCACAGAACTATTACCATCATAATTATGTAAATGAAAAATCAGGCAGTACGCAGTTCTGACTTTGTCCTTCACCTTTGTTTTGTGCTTACAGATGATATTAACTCACAATGTTGCTTCTTGATTTAGTGACTGCAGAAGTCTTCTCTCCTGTCTCTGGGCCTGTTGTCTGGTCCACATTCTACCAAATGTGGGTCTTCTGTATTGATACCAAACTATCTTGCAACAGGAAATTGTTGTATTGATAAAGGGTATTAGAGCCTGTTTTTTTTTTTTTTTTGTTTTTAATCTTTTGTCTTTCACTAAGTTATGATTGCCTCAGCTCTCAAGGCAGATATTTGGGCAGTTGTCTCAGGGTTTCTATTGCTATGAGGAGACACCATGACCACGGCAGCTCTTATAAAAGAAAAACATTTAATTGAGGCTGGCTTGGTTTCTAAGGTTTATTAGTCCATTATCATCATGCCAGGTGGCATGCAGGCAGACATGGTGCTGGAGAAGGAGCTGAGAGTTCTACATCTCTATCCACAGGCAACAGTAAGTGAACTGTATTTAGCACTGGGGGGGGCTTAAGTATAGGAGACCTCAAAATCTGCCCCACTTTCTCCAACAAGACCAGACCTTCTAATACTGTCAATCCTTATGGGGGTCATTTTCTTTCAAACTATCATAGGAATCTTATTTATTTACATTATTTCTTCCATGCTTAAAATTGTGGTGAAATGTACCTGAGATTTTCCATGTTAATATTCAGTTCATTGGCTTTAAAAAAAATTTCCATTGCTACAGTTCTTTTCATCCTTCAAAGCTGAACTCTACTTATAAAACATTTCCATTTTTCTTTATGTTCTGCCAGCCCTTATTCTGGTTTTCATCTCCATGTATTTGACTTCTCTAGGAACTTAGAAGTGAAATTATACTTTAGTGAATGTCTTTGAGGTCTGTCTGCTGTAGCATCTGTCAGGATTTCATTCTTTTCTAAGAATGAATGTCTCATTCCTTTGTTTGGCTCCTTGACATACTTCACGTTTTAACTTTCATGAATAATGTTGGCAGAGTTTCTGTGTCCTGGCAGCCACTCCCAAATAACCACACTGAGACTTATTATTAATTATAAATGCTTGGCTAATAGCTCAGGCTTGCTGCCAGCTAACTCTTATATTTTAAATTTACCCATATTTCTTATCTACACTCTGCCATGTAGTTTGGTACAAGAAGTTCATCTCTTTCCACATCTCCAAATCCTTAGATTCCTCCTCTTTCTCTTCCTGCTGCCTAACTTCTACCTGTCTAGCTATGCCCGACAGGTTCTTTATTAATCCAGCCACAGTGACATATATTCACATAGTATAAAATATTTCACATTTCCCCCTTTTTGCCTAATATAAAAAGAAGGTTTTAACTTTAACATAGTAAAATAATATACAACAAAACAGTTATCAAGTAAGAATTAATTACATTTGTCTTTGACAAAATCAGTTGTCCTCTCCTGAAGAGTTCAGAGTTTGATACTCATTTATTTATTTATTTATTTATTTTTTACCATGATTAGGGAGAACTGTAACTGTAACTATCTATTCTTCAAACCACCCTATCAAAGACCTGAGAAGGATATAATATTACCCGAGTAAACAGGAAATACAGAGCAAGCCATTTCCAAAATTAAGAAACAGCTGGCTGCGTGGATAGCCACCCAGAGTTCTAATGTTGGGCATCCAACTTTGGCCTATTATATCTGACAGACATTTCTGAGAAGCAGGGAATTTTGAAGGTCTCTTTACCTTATCTTGACAAAGTTTTGTTAGCCATTATTTTGTGTCCTGCTGGTCCAGTTTGGACAGTATACTGTCAGCAATTGAGGCAAGGGCAGCTTCTTTGTCCAGATAATTATCTTTTGCTATAAAGAAAACATATTCCATACAGAGTTTCTTTGATGCCCTTTATCCTCTTTTGAAGTACATTGGTGCTATAAGGAGCAGACATGTCCCACTGTCCTGAACAACATTTAGGTTATTAAACCTATTAAATGCCATATTTTGTAGATTTTTGAAATGTTTGAAGACTATCTGTTTAAATATATTTGTGTATGACCTTGAAAACATACCTAATATGACTTTTAAGTTTGACTATTATTATAGATGTCTATTAATCTGTATTTCTTAATTATGTTTTTAAATGAGCTGCATAAACACAATACCCTAAATAAGAGTAGAAACGTACATACAGTATAGCAAAATTAAATTTGTGTCAATAAACCAACATTTATACCAATGTAAATATTTTAAGATTCATAGCTGTTTTTTGAAATAATCTAGATTGAATAATCCACCTTTTTTTCTGTCATTTCAGTATCATATCACCCTTTTTTCCTTTAGATAGAGATATTTGTTCATCTTTTTTTTCTGACCATGACCAATAACAACTTGTAACCAACCCCTGTAAACAATGACAAACATTCATGATACTTTGCATAACCAAAACCCACTTATACCCCATCTTTTGGCATTGTTCTCTAGACTACTTCCATTTGTCTGTGGGCACGAGTATCAAAACTTGAGAAAATCAGAATAATTGTCAGGTCTTGGCTGAAGTAGGTTGTGAGGTTGCATCTCAGCCTGCAGCCTTGAAGCTGTTGTGGATGCAGAATTCTAAGAAGGTTTTAAGAGAGGCATTTTGAGATTCTGGTTAACTTGGCTTGTTTTCATTGGTGTTTGGTGTCCTTGCTCTGAAAATATATAAACTTTTCAAGGTAACATGCATGTCTGCATAATTATAGACTATGTTGTACACAAGTAGTCAAAGATGGTTTTTCATTTTATGTTTGAGCAGTTATATAGTTTTTCTAAGTTTATTTCTTTATGCTTATAGCCAAGATTTTCAGGAGGTCTTCCTGATCCAATCTGATCCACATCAACTTGGAATGAAGCCACAGCCTCTCATTTCCTGTGGAACTAAAAGCAAAACCTCTTTCCTAAAGTAGCATTTTTTTTTTTTTTTTGACGTTTTAAACATTAAGATAGCCCTAAGTATGTGGGTTGGTTCAATTTAGCAGTCCAGTCCAGACAGTCCTTGTCTATCAGCAGTTGTCATTTGCTCATCAGCATGAAAAAAAAATTCAAAATCAATACAATACCATATAGGATCCAGATTTCCCATATATTTTCCATCTTGGCATAACTTTTATTTTTATATTACCTTATTCTTTCTTTAAAGATTTTATTATTTTTAGACTTTTGTTTTATGACTGTCTACCATTTCTCTTTTCTCCTCTAAGCCTGTGTACACTGTAACTCATTTGGAGATTTTTACTGTCTGAATCTCTCTTTATTGCATATCGGTAATCTTCTTTTCTCTGAGGCTCAGTTCGTCGCATGCTGTCTGGTGGGGCTAGCTCTCCCAGTGCTCACACTGGCAGTTCAAGCCTGCACGCAACAGCTGGGAGACCAGTCTCTACCATGGCCAGCATGAGACCCATAAGACCAAGAATGGATATTTGGCTTCATTTTTGTGCCTGTAGAACCATTTTTTTTTTTTAAAGCTTTCTCAGGTCTTTATATAGATATAGGTGCCAGACATTGGGTGGAATTTCTCTGTGTCCTGGCAGCTGCTCCCACATAACTACACTAAGAGTTTAATTCCTGGAACCCGGCAGAATAGAGAACTGACTCCAGGACTTGTTCTTTGATCTCCAATAATGTGCTTTTCTGTCTGTTAGCACATGATATTTTGCCATTCAGCCCTGGCTTGATTTTCTTTTTTCGTGGTAGTAAATGGAAGTAAATTATATAATTAATCCTTGCTGAGTTTGTATTATGAAACCGGGGGGAAAAACCCCCACTTTATAAGTCCCTAACATTGTTATTGTTTGATATATAAACAGTATTGTACCTTTTAAAATTGGCCAGCTAATGGTTTCTTGTTTGTTTTTTTTTTCTGTTTTGTTTGTTTGTTTTTTGTTTTTTGGAGATAGGGTTTCTCTGTGTAGTCCTGGAACTCCCTCAGTAGACCAGGCTGGCCTCGAATTCACAGAGATCCATCTGCCTGCCTCTGACTTCCGAGTACTGGTGTTATAGGAATGCAACACCATCCCCAGCCAGCTAGTGTTTGTCAGTATAAAAGTTGTATTAATTTTGAAGAGCATGGTGTAGTTCAGTGGTCTCTTATTGAGTCTTGACTATTATTTGAAAAATACCAGATTGTTATTTGTTAATTGGTGTTTTTGATTTTGTTCATTTTATATAGGTGGTGTATGATGGACTTTTGGGTACAAATACAAATTCAAAGTTAAGAACATTGTCTCTGCAATTTGTACATCACATTTGTATAACGTAAGTTTTATTTTATTTTTTTTTTAACTATTTTTTTTAGAGTAATCACTTTTCCTCCATCTTTCCTAAAAAGCAACCATGTTTGTTTATCTTAGAGAGATTACTTACTTTAAGATTTATTTTTAATTATTTTAAAATTATAAGCATATGTGTGTGTAACTGTGTGGGTCTGTTCATGTGTGTGATAGTTACTGCAGAGTGCGGAAGAAATCATTGAATCTTCTAGAGGTGGAGTTATGTGTAGTTGGCAAGTTGACTAGTGTAGGTATTGAGAACTAAACTAGGGCTCTCCATAAGAACAGCACAAGCTTTTACTGCTGAGTCATTTCTCTGGAAAGTTTCAGTTTTTGTATATTGCTTAACTTCATTTTTTGCAAATTTTTTAAAAGAGATCATCTAAAAGGATATTTTTATTTTTGTTTTTAAAGCTGCCCAGAAATCAAGATTAAGCCACTAGGTCCTATGCTTTTGAATGGTCTTACTAAGCTAATAAACGAATATAAAGAGGTAAGTGACATGTCTTTTATATTTTAACGTTTATAAAATATTTAATGTAATATATCTTCCAGGTCCACAGGCCCACCTCTTGATATAGTTAATGTTTAGTATTGAACTTTGTTTCTTTTCCTTTTTATTTCTTGTTTTTTTGTTTTTTGAGATAGGATTTTTCTGTGTAGTCTTGGAGCTTTTCTTGTAACTCCCTGAAGAGCAGGCTGGTCTTGAACTCACAGAGATCCACCTGCCTCTGCCTCCTAAGTGCTGGGATTAAAAGCATGTACCACCACTGCCCAGTTGACCTTTGTTTATTAACATTTTTATTTGAAGTGGTGACAGTTTCATATTCTATTGCCATTTTTGCCTTTTAAAGAAATAGTTGTTAAAACTAATAACATCTTTAAGGATGTCATTCCTTCTCTAAGCTATGTGTGAAAGTAAATGCATTTTACGTTTCTTGTAGGTCCTATGAAAAATTGAAATTAAATTAATTTTATGTTTTATTTCTATCTGGAACTATTTGGAGTTGACTTGTACTGGGAAATAGTGTTGATTTTTGAAGGGCACATATTGCACTAATTTACAGTTTCATTAAAATATATTTTTAGTAAATTTTTGATTCAGTAAACTAAGTCTCAAGATTTCTTGAATTATAGATTTTCAAATTCTGCTTTTCTTTATTTTTCTCACTATCATATTTCTTGAATATACTAAACAGAATTTTAAGTAAAGTATTAAGTCTAGCTAGCATTGAATTTCTCAGACTTAGTTAAACATGAGTCCATATTTGTAGTAGTGTAGGGAGATCAGTATCTAAAGTTAGAGTTGAATTTGCATCCTAGGTCTATTCTTTGATGAACTACTCAAGTTGTTTGAACTCTTGTTTGTCAGAAAAAGGGATAAATTACCTTATTGTATTATTCTGATAATGAAATGAGTTAACACAGAAAATGGTTTAGCATAAGCAGGGCATATTAGATATTACAGATGAAAACTATAGATTTGTTATACACTTGGAATCTAGGTTTTTTTTTTTTTTTTTTTTTTTAAATATATTCCCTGGCCTCTCTTTTAAGGTTTAATACATTTTTTTTAAGTATTATTTTATGGAATAGCTTATGAGATAAGCAGATGCTTTAGAATGGCTGGTAGAAATAAAAATGGAGAAAAACTATATATTTCAAAATAGGTTTTAGGTGTGTTCAACCCTGTGACTCAAGTTAGGTATGAATGTTGTACAACCCACATTAAGACTTTAAAACCTTTGTGTGTGTGTGTGTGTGTGTGTGTGGGTGGGTGGTATATTAACCCTTCTTCCCTTCCCTGCTATCTTCTTATAACTTTGTTGCAGTTTAGATGACATAATTTTTCTTTGTCAGTAGGTTGGGCATGTCTGGCTCAGTCTAGATAAAACACAGTACCTACTCTTATTTCCAGGTGTCATTTCCATACCTTCCCAGCAGATGTGTCAATAGATTGGCTGTTGTAGGCTGGTGTGAGTTAAAGGATAAAGTTTATCTGACAGAAGTTTTACTGTGTTCTGTGTAACACTGACTCTCAGTTTTTGTGACACTCTAAAGCTCCATCTATCTAGATCTTGGGTGGAAGCCATTGACTTCTATAATGACTCTGACCTACTTAATTTGTTATGGTGTAAAAAGTGAAAAGAAGCCACTTATTACCAGTGTTTATAAAATTATACTTTTTTGTTGTGGGAGGGAAGATTGTCTTTCAGAGCAGGGATAAATTTCCCAATAAGTCCAAGTGTGAAGATTAATTTTGGTGTTTGGAAGATACATGATAATGAAAACACCCTAAAATTAGTGCCAGATAAGTCTTTCATGTATGATCACTGTATTTTGGAGTGAGTTAAGGAGTTAAGGTTTTGTTTTTATTTTCTTTTGTTCTGAGTTTGGACTTTTGCTTTTGTGGCATTATTAGTAAGACAGTGAGTAAGAAGTAAAATAATACATGTGACTATGGCAAAAATTTTGCTGTTAATCTTTTTTGTCTGATTTTCATTCTTTTTTTTTTTTTTTTTAATTTTAAGGACCCTAAACTGTTGTCAATGGCATATTCAGCTGTTGGAAAACTCTCCAGGTGAGCAATGTTTTTTTCTTTCTTTTATTTTTTTCTGTGAGCAGTATCTGCTTAAACTTGAGAAAGATGTATCTGGCATTTAACAATGGATAGAGAGTAAATTGCTATGATTGTGACAGGAAATGTATCTTATGGCAACAAGCTGTTTTGAAATGCCTTCTTTTTTTGAAAAGATAGGAGTCATTTAAGTTTGCCTTTGAAAATATATTATGTTAAATTTGATCTTGAATTAGGCTTTAAACTGAATTGTGTCAGAATAGCTTTTCATTATAGTTGCATAATGAGTTACATTGTAAGTATTAGGTTAATCTTAAGTGCTCTTGTTGCTTCTTACCACTAAACCTTACAACCTTATCTAATTAATATTACTTATAATATTATGAGCATGAATGAGCCTATTTCAAAGATATGTGTTTCCCTTTGCTCAATATGATTTCTTCATTCCAATTTTTTCTTATCCTTCATTTCAAACTGGAGGGGGAAAAAAAGAGATAAGATGTTTTCAGTGGTACCATTGTGTTGGTTTATCATCAAACATAGGCTGTGTATTTCTCTTCTCTGTTGTGAAGGGGAAGAACTTTCAGGGTTCAGAAGAAAGGTAGATCAACTTACAGACACAGAGTTGTCACAAACTCTGTCCCTTTATTTATTAGCATGAAATAGCAAAGCCTCATATGACTGTGGAAGATTTTCATTTAAATACAGTTTAGTATCTCTTCCCTTCATGTTAATGTTAACTGAGTACATGGAATGTTATACAAGGAATACCCATAAATAAATATATTTTAATGAAAGATTGTTTATATAACTGAAAAATTAAATAATCACTTAAAAAATATTTGGCTCCTGGAGAAAGTAACTTAATGATATTGATATTGTATTTTATGTTGTGAAAGTGTGAACTGAGGAATGTTTGTATATATTTTCATTTTTCCTCCTTTTCATCCTATGGAAATTTATGATAATGATATTCTTACATTCTCTTATAGTCGAATGCCCCATTTATTCACTAAGGATATAGCTCTCGTGCAACAGCTTTTTGAAGCTCTGTGTAAGGTAGGGAAACACGTTGTGAATTTTTGCTTCTGCATGGACACTTCCTATAAGTCAGCTGGGAGGGAAACACCATTTTTACTGTCTTTACAGGAAGAGCCTGAGACTCGACTTGCCATTCAGGAAGCATTATCTATGATGGTTGGAGCATATAGTACCTTGGAAGGAGCACAGAGAACTTTAATGGAGGCACTCGTGGCTTCATATTTAATAAAGGTAGGCCCAGCTATATGAATGAAAATGGCTAGTAGTATATACATTTTATATTAAAATAAAAAAATTTAAGTATAAATTGCACATATTTGAGATTTGAGGGGTATAATTTTTCAGTAAGTATGTACAACTATATACTATTCAAATTAGGATAAATTAAATACCCTCCTTTCTGGCTTTTTTATTTAATGCAATACTTCTTTATAGGGGGCACCAGAACTTACCTTTTTGTATCTAACTCATTTGGTAACTGTAGACCTCTTTATCCTTTTTGTATCTAACTCATTTGGTAACTGTAGACCTCTTTATCCATATCTGGTAACCACTCTTTTACTCTCAACTTCTATGAGGTTAACTTTTTAAGAAAGATGTCTTAGAAGGAAAGACTACACAGGATTCTAAGAGATACGGAGTGAGATTATATGGCATTTCCCTTTCTGTGCCTATTAAACTTGTCTTCTAGTCCCATCCATATTGCTGCATATGATAGTATTACTTTTTAAATTATTATTTTATAATTCTGAGGATTGAATCCAGGGTCCTACTCAGGCAGTAATTCTTCTACTGAGCTGCACCTTATTGTCATATTGTATAGTTTTTAGAAGGAAATTTGAATTGCTTTTCTCTATAAAACTTTGATTATTAAGAAGTATATTTACTAGTTTACATTTATGATTTATGATCAGTTTTAATTCTTTATGATGGAAATGTGGATTTGGGTTGAATTATGCACAGTTATGCTTATATTTAAGCTTCTGTGTGGGGAAACTCTTCTTAATGCTTTGTATTCCAGGCTGGAAGTATTTGTCTTTATTACTTACAGCTCTCCCCTGCAGTCCATTGACGTAGGCTTATGGGTTATTACTGTTAGACAAATGCTGAAAGACAAATCATGTTTGTCAAAACGAACCTGTAGGAAAAAAGCCAGTACTGTCATACATAATCTTTCTTCACATTTTGCTTTTCATGGAAATATTTATAGAACAATTTAGAATATCTATAAGCATGTATGTTTGTGTGTGTAAAGCATGTAATAAATAATAAATGAATGTTTGCCTTAATTAGTTCTTTGTCCTCTATTTCTAGAAATAGAGGAAAGAATACTGGTGAGATTAACAAACATGTTTTTCTCAAATTAGGCTGACATGATATAGTCATGTGATAGAATTCTTAGAGATTCAGAAAGATATCTGGTGTCTATTGAAACATGAAGAGCCTATTGTACATTTTGAGTCCTGTTTCTACATGCTCCTGGTGTCTTGTTCATGTGGCTCATAGTCTTACATCATAGGCAAAGGTTAGACCTGTCTGGAAACTCTTTAGAATAGAACACTGGAAACTTTTGCAGATAACCTTATAAGCAAGAGTGATGTATGTATAAGGCCTTGTGGATACTTATATAAATGAAATCATGTAGCAGTATTACCAAGCCAGAGATAATTTAGTTTTCATAAAGATTAAAAGTAATCTTTAAAAGTAAAGCAACCAAGCTTTCTGTTAAATTGAATAATTTAAATTGGTCTTTAATATCATTTAAAAAAATATAGCCCAGGCATTGTAAATAGCATGAATTTCAGAAGAATAAGGCATTTAATTCTTAATTTCTCAGATATTTCACTTAGGTTTGTGGCTGGACAAATATGTTGGGGGGAAGGTACATGAAAGTAAGCCTTTAGCATCAGTTATTTTCAAACTATTCAATTTTATACGTTATTAATCTAAATTGAGGGAATATGTTTGCATAGTTGAATTTCAGTTCTCAAGGCATTGTTAATTTCAGAATAAACCTGAGAAAGAGATATTTTTGTCCCAAAATTATAGTTAGGATAGATTATACCCCTTGCAAAATGTCTGAATTTCACTTTTGTGACTAAGAGTTTGAAAGTTGGAGAGACAAAGATAGTGATGCAAACCTCACAATGAACTTCGCTTCAAGTTTGGACTGGAAATGTGTATGTACAGAGAGATTCTTTGTAGCTAGTATCTTTGTGCATCTGTGGTCCATTTGCAGGATCCTTATAGCTCTTAAAAGTGCTCTTTAAGTAATGCCAAGGACTTCTCTAAGCAGCGTGATTCAAGATCTAAAGTAGGGCTAACGGTATAGCTCAGTGGTAGAACTTATGCATAATGTGTGTGGACCTGGAGTCAATCGCTAAACCCCCAAAAGTAAGCTCTTGAACAAATAGTTTCTCTTGATTTTTATTGGTTTAAGCATGTGTTTATTGATGTCAGATTTGAATTGTGTACAACTAGTTTGACTTAGGACTGGATTGAGATGCTGATAATTGAATTCTTTTTTGGGGGGTGGGTGGGTTGATGTCTTTTTTTTTTTTTTTTTTTTTTTTTTCTTTTTTGTGTTCAATAGCCTGAAGTTCAAGTTCGGCAAGTTGCGGTGAAATTTGCCAGCACAGTGTTTCCCTCAGACCATATACCTTCCAGATATTTGCTCCTGCTAGCTGCTGGAGACCCGTAAGTTTAAAAATTTGTTGATTTGAATTTGGTTGAATATATTTTAAAATTGATAAAATTTATGTTGGTTGCAAAGTTGACTTATGAAATTTAGAAGTAATTTATTAAGGAGTTAAAAGTATACCCCTTCAGGTGACCCACAGTCATATAGCTATATACTTACATAGCTATATGTATATATTTATATATTGAATTAGCATGTATATCAATAATATATGATAGAAAATCATTTTGTATCTAGTATGTTAAGATTTTAAAAATGAGGTTTGCATATATATATATGTGAATTACAGTACTGTAATTCTAATGTATATTTTTAATGTGACTAATGTGCTACCTAGTACTTTAATGAGGCATCTATTTTTAATCATTTAGTTTGAAATTGAAAAATGATCTTAAGTCATTTAAATATCATAAAACATGTGTGCATATTATAATGACTCTTATTAAACCTATTATATGTTTTATAGTCATTGACATCTTAACTAGTATGAAGTACTCTAATATCTGCCATAATATGTGGTTTTTATATCTAGTCACTTTTTAAACAATGAGATTATCATATTTTAAAGTCTCATTTATGGTGAAGTTCCAAATAAAATTAAGCTTCTGTTTATCATTTGAATATACTTTTCATAAACTCTGTGGTCTTTTAAAAATAAGTTGGGTAGTTATTTGATAGCTGTTACTTGAGAATTTTAATTGGTTCAATTGTTTGCCTTTGGTATGAATTGTATCTATTTTGCTATGATATTTTATCTGAGTTCACTGCTGACAGGTCCTCTTGATTTCTGATCTTGATTTCCTTCTTACTCATTTGCATTTCAATTTGGTTCTAGTGATTTTGGATTGTTAATTGTGTTTTTGTTGACCTGCTTTTTTTTTTTTCCTATCTCAAGTTTTCCAGATATCCTAGTATCTGTGAGTTAAGGTAGTAATTGATGTTAGAAAAAGATTTCAATCTGAGAATTTAGGCAAACTTTAACCAGTATTTTTATTTATACCACAAAAACCAAAACATGATTTAGTATTTTCCCCTTTTAGTTTAATAAAAATTGTTTTGTTCAAGCGTTTTCAATTGTCCTCTGGCAGTTTGAGGCTTTGCTTGCTTATTCCTTCCTGTCACTCTGTAAGGTGCTCTTAGGAATTCATGACTAGTTCAGAGGCAGCCCAGGAGTTTTGAGAAGACTTGTGATATAGAAGCAAAGCTGTGAGGTCATTTTCCAGGTGTCCTGAAATAGATGAGGTTGTATAGTGTATGTGTTCATGCCATTTATTTACCAGTTTTTATAGAATTGCAGACAAACTACCAAGAAGCGATAGCATTAAGATGGATATGTAAAACACAGGACATTCTACTGCTTTAATGTGTGTTATAAGTTATTAGCGATTTAGTTTTAATAAGAGTAAAGCACACAATTACATATTTGCATAATAAGTAGCAATATTTAATCTGTCTTCTTTTTTCCCTGTGAGTAAAAGTTAAAAATGTAAGCCAAGTGATTCTCCAGATCTCATTAAATTACCAAATATTGTAATTTCTTATTTTACTTTTTATTTACTGCTTATATAGCCAAAAATGTATTCAAGACATTTTGTTAGAACTCAACTGTCAAATATAAACTTTCTGTTTTCATTCTTCAAGTGATGACTCTCCAGTTAGCAGCTTATTTTTTAATTGTTGCTTGTCTTTCAAAAAGACGAGAAGAAGTCCATGGGGAAGCACAACGTGTACTACGATGTCTTCCTGGTAGAAACAAAAAGGAAAATGTTGTTAAGCAGATGCCATCTTTTCCAGAAATGGTATATTACATTCAAGAGAAGGTAGGAATTTTATCTATAATTAGTTTGAAACATATATTAGATGGTGGAAATAAAAGTTAACATTTTAAAAGGAAAAATGCAATAATTAAATATTAAATGGTAAAGTTCCTAGCAATCATAGTATTTACACTAAGAGGGAGCTACAAAGTAAGGAGAGAAATATAATTCTTATGTACAATTGATTTGTTTAGCCTAAATATGACTGATTTGTAATTCTTTTAATGTTTGTTCGTGTTTGAGTATGTTGAAAAAATTTTTCTTTGGTATGGCATAGTTAAAAACACATTTTTAAAAAGGTTGAATTTGCTTGTATTTCTTATTCTTTCCCCTCCTTCCTTAAGGTGTCATAAATGTATGAATGCTTTAGAGAAGTTCAAGATTTTCCACTGTTATTATTCCACATTCTTTGGTAGATCTCTGCTCTGCAGTTTCTGAGGTTGAACCAGAGCAATGGCAGTAGTACTTACTCTTCAGCATTGACTGTCTACTTTTTACATTGGTGTTATTTTGATTATGTTAGAGAATAGCTAGCATTTTGAGCATGAGGGATATATACAGAGTAGAAAATGTTTTGTTTAGAAAAGACAAATGCAGGTAGTTGGTTTTTTTGCTTTGTTTAGTAAAGACAAATGCATGGGATGGAGAGGTGGCTAAATAGTTAGGATAATATACTGCTCTTGTACTAGACCTGAATTTGATTTTCAGGACCTGTGTACAACTGTCTGTGGCTACAGCTCTAGAGGATCCAGTGCATTTGTCCTCTGTGAGGACCTGTACTCTAATGTACACACCCAGATACATATGCATTCACATAATTTAAAATGGTAAAAGTAAATCTTTAGGGCTGGAGAGAAGGCAGTTAAGAGCATTTGCTCTCTTGCAGAGGATTGGGTTTGGTTCCCAGGGTCCACATGATGTCTCACAACCATTGTACTCCAGTTCCAGTGGATCTGACTTCTGACCTCTAAGGGTTGTGTATATGTATGGTACACTTACATACATTCAGACAAAACATACATATACATAAAAGGAAAAATCTTGAAAAAGTCAAATGAAAGGAGCTAGAGAGATGGCTCATGAGTTAAGAGCACTGGCTTTTCTTTGATAGGATCTGGGTTTGATTCCCAGAATCCACATGGTAGTTCACAACCTTCTGGCCTCCACAGGCACTGCATGAATGTGATGCATAGACACACCTATATAGAGTAAAATAAACCCAAACAAAACAAAACAAAACAAAAAAGCCAAAACCCCAAAGAAAGTCAATAGTAATATAGCTAGAAGCATAGTTATTTTCAGCTGAATTAGGACAACAATTTTCAGAAATTTAATTTGTTCTGTGCTCATTTTTATTAGGCTTCCCATCGAATGAAAACTCCAGTCAAATACATGACCGGAACCACTGTCCTTCCATTTAACCCAGCTGCATTTGGAGAGGTAGGGCTTTTGTATCTTTATGTAATGTCTATGAAAACTAAGCTGTTTATGATCCTTTTGCTTATAGTAAACTCTTATTATGCTATCATTGTTCTTTTAGGGTGTTTGTTTTGAGAAACAAGGGCCCAGTATTTGATAATTTGCATTGTTTTAATTCTTAGTTACCGGGAATCAAACCTGGGGCTTTAGAAATGCCAGGCAAATTCTCTACTGCTGAGTCATATCCCCAGATCTCCAGTCCCTAGAAACAGTCTTTTTATGACAGAACAAGGTGCTCTGCATTGGTTACTGTTGGGTTTTTGTAGCAAGTTAGATTTGACTTTTAAAGCCAATATACTATTGAAATTGCTAGGGCTTTCTAGGTTAGAAGTCTTGGCAATGTAGGATTTGTCACATTTATTGAGAAGATTAATTTATCACATCTAAGGTGGATTTTATGTATTAAATTACTGATTTGTACCAATTACATATAATTTTCTTAGAGCAAGAAGATGGCTAGGGGTATAGCTCCTTGCTAGAGTGTCTATTTAGTTTCTGAAAGGATATGGCTTTAATTTCAGAATGAAGAAGAAAAAGAAAAGTCTTACTTTATTAAAAAAAATAAAAAAGCAAAAACATAAAACCCCACACATTTGAATTTGTGAAATGTTTTTGCACTTTTTGTTATATTATGTTTAGTTAGCATATTGAGTCATGCTTCCTGGCTTCCATTAAGATTTTGTAAAGTTTTTAAGAAGGACGATGAGGGAAGTAAAAACTGAAAATTGTCACTTTGAAGAATACACCAACTGACTTTTTAAGAAGTTGGTATTTCTCATCCTTCTGGTTTTAGATAATTCTGTACTTGCGAATGTGCCTGGCTCATAGTGCAGGGGTGGTGCCCACTTCTCAGAGTTTGGCTGATATGCAAGATCATGCTCCAGCCATTGGACGGTACATACGGACATTAATGTCAAGTAGCCAGGCAACAGCTTCATCTTCTAATAAGAGTGGAGAAACCAATCCTGTTCAGATCTACATAGGCCTGCTTCAACAGCTGTTAGCAGGCGTTGGAGGTAGGAACTTAATCATACTAAGAAAAAAATATTAAAGCAATTAAGCAAAATGTTAATGTTACTTTACTCTTCAGTATTTGCACATTTGGCTCCAATGGATAGGCTACAAACCCATGGTCACACAAATGACCCTGGTTAAACTCATTGGGCCTCAAAATGTAACAAGATATTAGTTTGGGAAAAGGAATTGTAGTTAGGAGGTCGTTTTGTGTGTGTGTGTGTGTGTGTGTGTGTGTGTGTGTGTGTGTGTGTGCTCGCGGTAATAGAGATGAGAAAAATAGAGGATTGGGGGTTACACTAATCAGAAAATACTATATACATATATAAAATTGTCAAAAAGCAAATTCAAAAAAAATTAAATTTTAGACTATACTAAGAATTTACAGAAAATCTATTCCAACTTTCTTGACTTCTGTACCTAAATATTAACCCTTGTTTACTTTGTAAATTTAGCTGATTTATCCTTGATAGAGTTTTCATTTCAGAAAGAAATGTTAATTTACATACATATTTTATCTTTGGAAGTACAGATGAAGAGCAGGACTCCTTTTTATAACTGAATTGCATTCTTTATTTACAATTTAATTTTTCCATTTTTAGGCTAAATTTTTTGTTTAAGCATTACATTTGAGAGGAATTTAGGGATTTCTGTATATTCATTCTTTTTCATGAAAGTTAAAATGGTTCTGAATTCTTACTTAGGTTTGCCAGTCATGTACTGTCTATTGGAAGCTGTGTCAGTGTATCCAGAAAAATTGGCTACCAAATTTGTAGACAAAACAGAATGGATCAAGGTATGTCCTCATGACATGTTTATTTCTCTAAGAATTCAGACATCTCAAACTAATTGAAAGATCTCTTTCTTGCTACCACTCTTAATATGCCCTTTACTACCTTTAAGTCATTTAAAAAATTTCCCACAACCAAATACTTACTGGAAAACATGCAGGTCAACATTCTTCATGACCCATCTTGGTGATGCGGAGAATGAATTTAAGAATCATCAATTAAAATTTTTTTTTGATTCAAAATATTTTATAATGATAGGTGTATATATTTTGAAAACCACATTTACATTGTATATTTGTCAATAAAACACTTATTTTCTGTAATTGTGTCATGCCACCTTAAATTTTCTCAATTTCCTACTCTGCTTCTCTTCTGACAAGCATATAAAAGGACAGCAGTAGTTTTATGGGGTGAAACCTTCTATTTTGCTTATGCATATATACATAAAATAATGCATTTAAAATGTTTTCCCTTCTTTTATACAAAAGACAGTACACTGTTGACACAATTTTTTATTTCTTTTACCAGATAGTAGAGCTTGTCTTGTAACTATGGAGAAAAGTCTTTAATAGCTTCATCATTTTCTATTGCGTGGTTAATTCTTGATTCTTACTGCTGACCACTTAGGATTCTTTTCTGCTGCAGTGAATTTAATACTATTTTCCATACAAAGAAATACCAGATATTATTTTCATAGCAAACAGGATTTATTGTATTTCATAGGAGAGATATAAGAATGAGAAGTATATTTTTTAGATTTCCCAGACGTGGTAGACACATCTTTAATTTTGATTATCCTTCATGTGGGCAGTACTAAGTTTTGCTACCAGCTTAAGTGAGAGTGTTCTTCTTTCATAATAACACCAAAGATGTTATCAAGTGTAGCAAATAAAAATGTAAATGAAATTAGAATTTTTAAATTAATCTTTTTAGTAAAAATATGAATCATAGAATTGTAGATCTCTCTGCTTTGAAATGCAGTTCTTTCTGGAAACTGTAGCTTGAGTTATGGTAAAATTTTTATCTTTAAATGTTTAAATAGGAATGTAGGTTGTCAAGAGATACTAGTTTTGTATTTTTCTTGAAAAGATTTGGTCTTCTGAAAGTACTTCTTAATTTAAAAAGGGTTTTCATTTCTTTGTATATATTTTCTAATTTAAAGTAAATCTTGTGAGTTTTGATCTGTTAATAGAAGGTTAATCTTTCTATCATATGAAGAGAAACCAGACTATTCATTTGAGTCTCAGGCCTTCAGGCCTGTTGTGACCTATGAACTTCTACTTTTTATGATCTATCAGGTAGTAATGGTTTTCTGTTTTTTGCTTTTTGTTGTTGAGTTTTTCTGTTTTTGTTTTTTGTTTTTGTTTTTTATTTATTTGAGACAGGGTTTCTCTTTATATCCTTGGCTGTTCTAGAACTTGATGTGTAGATCAGGCTGGCTTTGAACTACAAGATCCACCTGCCACTGCCTCCTGAGTACTAGAATTATAGGCTTGTGCCACCACCTGGCTCTGTTTTTTACTTTATTTGAAAAAACAATTATGCTGGAGTTTGAAAACAAAATAGGACTTTGTACATGGTAGGCAGGTATTTTATCTCTGAACCACAACTATAGCCCCTTTATATTTTTAAATAGTGGAAAAAAATAACAAAAGACATTATTCCAGGAGTACAGACTATAGTTCTCATTTTATTGGAACATAGCTGTGTCCATATCTTAGTATTATCTGTGCCTATTTTTATGAACAGTAGCAGAATGGAGTAGTCCCAAGAGTGACTAGACATCCCACAGAACAGAGTCTTGGTTTTTCATAGAAAAAAAAAAAAATGCTGATCTGTATTTCAAATCAGCTACATTTATTTTACCTGTTATAATAAATGTGCAACTAAGATATTTTTTTTTCTTCTTCTTTTTTTGCTGTTGTTTTTTTGAGACATGGTTTCTCTGTGTATCAGTTCTGGCTGTCCTTGAACTTCCTTTGTAGACCAGGCTAGTGTTGAACTCACAGATTTACCTGATGCTGCCTCCAAGTGCTGGGATTAAATTTCAGCTCATTATTTGTTTTCTTTTTATTTATTTTACATTTTAATAAAAATATAATTATATCACTTATCCATTTTCTTTCCTCCTTTTAAACCTTCACATGTTACTCCTCAATTCTCAAATTGATACCCTCTTTTTCTATTATTATTGCTCTCTTTGTCTCTCATACATACACACATATGTATATATATGTGTGTATGTGTGTATGTATGTGTGTGCCTGAATGTGCACACACACACACACACACACACACACACACACACACACACACACACAATCTAATGAGTCCATTTTTGTTGTTTGTGTGTATATGATTTCAGGACTGACCACTTTGTATTGGATAACCAGTCAGGAAGCTCATCCCTGGGAGAGGCTAATTCTCCCTCTGCAATCATTAGTTGCCTATAGTTCTTTGTCTAGGGGTGGGACCTGGTAAGATTTCCCTCTGCTGTGTTAGCATGTCTAATGATATTGTCATTGTTTGGGTCTTGTTTATCCAACCATTTTGAAGAGAGGCAGTCTTGGTATTCTGGCCCTTATAACACCTCTACCTCACAACCTTGTTCTGTGATGTTATCTGAGTCATAGAGTCTGGGAGCTGTGCTGCATATGTATTCATTCAGGCTGGGTTGCCTCACAAACCATTGATGTTTGCATTGTGTTCAGTTGTGGATTTTTTAATAATGGTCTCTATTTGTAATAGAGGGAAGCTTTTTTTGATGAGACATGATAACTATACTTACCTCTGCGTATAGGGATAATGTTTAAACTGTAGATGGGAATTATCCTGGCTAAGTGGTGAGAATAGATTCTCTTCTAAGACCTCACTAGTCCTGGGTAGTTGGCTAGGTTTCTAGGACCAGGCATGATTTCCCTCCTGTTGAATGGGCTTTGATTCCATTTAGACAGCTTTTGGTTACCACTCATATGTGGAGTGCTGTCATTGCACCTTTATAAATATCTTGCCATGCTGGTCATTGTAGTGCCTCATAGGTGTCATGGCTGAATAGAACTATTAATTATTTCCCTCCCTTGTCAGCTTGCATAGTACTTTCTGGTACTATGGAAGCTAGACTGAAGGAAGGAGGATTTCAGGTTAGATCCAGTTCAAATATTAAGCTTGTTCATTGATAATTTCATACACGAACATAATACATTCTGATAGCTCTCCTCCCCCCCCGCCCCCCGTCATTCTCTTTTATTTTCCTTTTATTTTTCATGACCATTTAGTTTAACCAAGGCCATATGTCTGACCTTTGTATTGTAACTGTCTATTGGAGCCTGCCAGAGTCATTTTGTTTGGAATATAATAGCTTCTTGCATTATATTTTTCATGGATACTAATAGATTGAATGTTAAATGTATCATTTACTTTTATAACTTTAAATGTCAGGTGTTGTCAGCAGGGAGATGGTTATGAATCATCTCTTTCTTTTCTGTGTTGCTTAGGGTCTGATGAGTAGCAGCAAAGAAGAAATGCGTGAATTGGCAGCTTTGTTCTATTCTGTGGTTGTGTCAACAGTGTCCGGTAGTGAATTAAAGTCAATGATAGAACAACTTATAAAGGCGACAAAAGACAATCATGTATGTAATCAGTTTTATCTTCATTCTTCTTTATTACTTAAATAAAATAACTTTGTATTTTTACAAAATATAGGAACCCATATTTGAAACTCGGGCACGGCCATTAATCCTGGGACAAAGTTTTCTTTTTTTATGCCAACAGATTTATCCTATTTGAGATCAAAGTACTGTTATGACAAGACTCAACCCCTTTGCTAGAAAGGATCATTTTCTCCTTTTGCCTGTAAGACAGTGAAGAAATATGAAATTTTGACATTTTGTTTCTACTCTGTTTTTCTCTCAGTTCTGCAAATAGTTGAATCTTGCAGGACTGTCTTCCTGGACTAGGAAATACACTTATAAGAGTGGACTAACCTGATTTAGTTGGAATTTTTGAGCTTCGGTTTCACTGTGTAGTTCAGGCTTGCTTTCAAACTTTATTCTCTTGCCTTAGCATTTGCTACCATACTCAGATTTGTTGTCATTCTTTTTCAGTAGGTGATAGGGGTTTTACAAAGTATCTGATTGTACTTTTTAGTTTTTAGGTTTCCATTTATAAAGTAAACTTACAAATTCTTAGCCTTTTTAAGTAAAAATTGAGATAGATGTGTTGATTCAGTCTAACTCTGTGTTTGAAGAGTACTGTTTTAGGTAATGTGTACATTGTGGTAGGCAATATTTGGGAATCCCTACAACTGCTTGATGTTATTAACACTCCCAAAAACCCTATCTCTGCTGCCACTTAGTACCTACAAAAATACTTACAAAAAAGCAAACTTGATTAATAATATTGTCTATCTTGTATTTGGAGGTTTTAGCAGGTAGAAAATGACTGCTCAGTGTATTTTTTTGGCAGTATGGAGAGATTATCCTTGAATATTATGATAATTAGCTTCTATAGTGGTATAAACAAGAAGAAAGTATAATGGGTTGGAGTGATGTTCAGTGGTTAAGAGCACTTGTTGCTAGGTTCAATCCCAGTACCTCCAAGGTACTTCACAACCGGACTCCAGTTCCAGGGATCTAATACCCTTATCTGGTTTCTAGGGACACTGTGTGAATATGATGCATAAACATACATTGAGGCAGACACTGATATACATAAAATAAAAATTAAATGAAAAAGAAAGTATAAGGTCTATAGATGCATATTTTAAAAGTTACCTGACCCAAAGTTGGAGGTTGTATGAAATTTGATTATCTAAATCTGGACATGAGCTTAACTTTTTAGCATTCTGTGTTATAAACTCTTGTTGCTTAAGATTGATTCATTGGCTTCCAATAGAATCATTTTGTTTTATAGTCTTAGGTTTTATCAGAGACATTATTTTAACAGCAGTTACTTCAGTATATCTTTTCACATGTGAGGTAGAAACAGTACTGTTGTGTTATTAAATTCAGAGCCCTGAGGTACAGCATGGATCCTTGCTTGCATTGGGATTCACTGTGGGAAGATACTTGGCTAAGAAGAGAATGAGAATGGCAGAGCAGCATGACCTGGAGACAGATGCTGATCTCTTGCCTGAGCAAGAAGATCTCATTCAGAATGCAACAGAGATAATAGGTTAGTATCTGTACTGGCTTGGCTGCTACAGGGTTTGAATTGTGTTATTTTTTAATATGGTATTTATGTTTCCTCTTATAACATTGTTCTTTAAAGGCACAAGCTTTTCCATAAACTAATCTATTTATCCATGCTTTTGTTTGTATTCCAGTGGCATTTATGTTAATATGGAAACACTAACATTCAAGGATACTTAAGTCCTATTGTCATGGTGTCTTACTATAACATAAATAACAATAGTGGTCAGCCAGAAAACATTATAGACCTTGGTTTTGTATTGCTGTTTTGAAAAAGATTAATATATAACTGATTGCTTTAAACCATAAGAATAATTAGTATGCTACTCTCTCTGTGTCTAAATTTGCTTACAGGTTCATTTTTAGACAGTACATCACCTCTGTTGGCAATTGCTGCCTGTACAGCCCTTGGTGAAATTGGCAGAAATGGTCCTCTCCCCATCCCCAGTGAAGGATCTGGATTTACCAAACTGCATCTGGTAGAAAGCTTACTGAATAGAATCCCTTCCACTAAAGAAACTAATAAGGCAAGCCTTTTTTTTATTCTTTCCCTTCTAGAATTCTTCTGTGTTTTTATTCCTAGTTGTACAAACTCAAAAAACCAAGTTATTGTGAGTATAGTCATCTGTCCACATTCATCCATGCACACTGCAGCAGAATAAAGTTTTACTAATGTATTTAAAATGATAAAGATGTAATTTTGATAAAGGTATTTCCTTTTTTAAGTTTGCTTTTAAGGGAGACATGTATAAACTGTTTTGCATGTCATCTTTTGACCCAGTTATTCTAATTTAGCTCCTTAACAGTTTTAATTTCAGTAAAATTAAAAGTGCATTTAAGAACCATTTTTTTGTCATGCAAAAGCTGATAATAAAATGCTCAGTTTCACGATTTGTATAATTTTAAGGTAGGGCTAAATCTTACTGTTTAACAGTAAGTTTGGTTTGAAGAAATGTAGGTGTTAGGAAGCAGTGTGAATAATCCGAGGGAAAGAATAGTTGTAGTTTTTTAAGTTGAGATAACTTTTCATAGACTTTAAAACATTCTTTGTAATTAAAGTACTTGATGTTGAAAATTAAGATGCTTTATTGAGTAGAAAAATACCAGTTTACTTAAGTTTTTTAAAAAACATTGTAGTCTTGTTCTTGGTTTAGCTGCTATTTAAAACCAACATAATTAACACTGTGTAGTTTTCTTTTTAGCAATCATTAGCCAGTTTTTTGTTAGCCAAGGAATATGCTATAGTTTTGTCATGTATTAAAATTAAGTCTTTAAAAAGATAAGGTGTAATAGGCATAGTTGTCATTTTTGTGTGAGATAACAAAGAGTTTCAGAGAGCTGATATAACTTGCCCAAGAGCTACTAAGTTGTATAGATAATTTTGTGGCTTTAAACCACATTTCCAGCCTTGACAGTTTAAATACTAAGCATAAGGCTTTCTTTTTTAATTTTTATTTTTTATAGGTATAGATCCTTAATGGGCTTATTTTTCTGTTTTTAATGTCTTATAATACTGTAATATTGGGCACTTTTGTAATAATGTAGGCATTGGTATATTAGGCATATTGATTGCCTCTTCCTGTCATCTCACTTGGAAATACTGTTTATTTAATTTATTTAAAAATTTAAAAAAAGAATCTGTGTTCTTCCAGATGAAAGAACGAGCAATCCAAACATTGGGCTATTTTCCAGTTGGGGATGGGGGTTTTCCCCACCAGAAACTCCTTTTGCGAGGCCTGATGGATTCTGTGGAGGTATTTATAGTGACTAAAATAAAGTTTTTTTTTTGTTTTGTTTTTTTGTTTGTTTGTTTGTTTTTAGTTTTGCTTACTCTGGAGATTTTAAAATTTTGTTTTATTGGGGGTTTATTAATTTCTTTTATGTGTATGCCCATTCTTTTTGTGTCCCTCATGCAGTGCCCACAGAGGCCAAAAGAGCACCAGTGTTGGGTCCCCTGAAACTGTAGTTACAGATGGTCTTTAATCGTTACATGGGTGCTGGGAATAGAACCTGAGTTCTCTAGAAGAATAGTCAGTATTAAACACTGAGCCGTCTCTATGGCCCCAACTTTGAGGTTTTATAAAATAAACATTCATTCCTTTATCACGTATTTAATTTTGAGTGGTAGCTTTAGGCTTGTTATTGTGTTAGACATAGCTCTATGAATTTTATGTTTGGGAAAGACTCATTATTTTTGAGTAGAACATGGTATAGTAGAAATAAAAGAAAGAAACCAATTTAGCCCTCTTTGGAGAGTTGGGGCTGGTATTCTAGTTGGCTTTTGAGTTACTGATGCCCATTGTAGTGGGAAAAGACCTATAGTTAATGACTACGAGTATATAGTGATGTGTCTTAGCATGACCTAATCTTGCCTCTGCCTACCTCTTGTTTTGAGTTTTCTGAAAGCCTCAAGTTTCCTTTTCAGATTGTTGCTGTGTTTCTTGAAAACCTTTTTGGCATTTAAACTAGATTAGATTCTTTAGTTAAAATGACTTTGAGCCCTTTCCCCTATGGTGTTTATCACATCTCACTATTCTCTACTGAAGGCAGTGTCTGCTTTGTTCATCATTACACAAGTGTCTAGCAGTGTGATTGCAAAGGTATATTGTCATAAATACTAGTAAAAATACGTGAATAGGAAGGTATTGAAGGCAGGAGAATTTTAAAGGAGTGTGTGATTGTGTCAGAGAATTCTGGTATAATCTGCTTAGATGGGAAGTTACAACTGAGCTTTGATGGGTGGGAGGAAGGAGATACACTTTAGTTAAGGGTAAAGGATTTAAGGATTGGAGATAACTGAGTAAGAGAATTGAAACTGAAATTGAAACCTAGCTTCATTTGTTTCCTCTCTGTGGAAGAGTAAATCCAGGGACTTGCCCATACTAAGAGTGCACTCTACCACTGAGCTGCATCCCCATTCCCATGTAATGTTTTCAAAGTGAATTATACCCTTGCCAGGGTCATCAGATGCCAGTTGTCGTAGTTAATTTTCAATTGCTGTTACAAAACATTATAAGCAAGGCAGCTTATAGAATAGAGAGTTTATTATAGTTCAGAGGGTGAGTCATGACTATCATGGCAGCAGGCAGCCAGACACAGGCACTAGAACAGTAGCTGAGCTCATATCCAGATCCATAAGTGTGAGTTAGAGAAAACTGACTTGGAATAGCCTAGTTCCAAAACCCACTCCTAGCGACACACCTTCTTTAACAAGGCCATACCTCTCAATCCTTCCCAAACAATTCCACCAAACTGGGGACCACCCATTCAAAGACACAAGTGTCACGAGTGGTTTTTTCCCCCAATAGCTGGTCTGGCCGCCATGCCAGCCCCAATTAACACACAGAGATTCTGTATTTGATATAATGCTGTTGGCCAGGTACTAGTTTCTTATTGGCTAGCTCTGTCTTAATTATTAACCCATTTCTATTAATCTAAGTATTTCCACATGGTCTCATCTTACTGGGGAGTGGGGCCAGTGTCTGGTCTCCCCAGTCTCTCCACACTGATCCCTCCTTACTACTTCCTCTTTCCTCCTTGTCTCCTAGTCCCTCCTATCTTGCTTTCCTACAGGCCAACAGTGCTTAATTCATTAACCAGTATGAGAAACATTTACAGAATGACGTCTCCCATCACACAAGCATATATGAGTCATTCTCATTCAAACCACAATGTCAGTTTCATTTCAATCTTCTGGAAAGAAGCTTATGTCTGCTTTTTCATATTTTTCTTTGTAATGTTAATTCTTGTTGTATTTAAGTAAATGAGAACTTATTGGATTCTTAACATATTTTGATGTCATTGTTTTAAAAATTTAGAAATACAAAAATGTTGAATCTGAGGACCAAAATCTGTTCATAGTCAACTAAAATAAAGCCCTAATGTGCTTTTAGGTTTATTTATTTATTTACACATTGTTTCTTTTCTTTTCTTCTTTTTTCTTTTTTCTTTTTTTTTTTTTTTTTTTTTTTTTTTTTTTGGTGTTTAGAGATAGGGTTTCTCTGTATTACTTTGGAGCCTGTCCTGGAACTAGCTCTGTTCGAGGCTGGCCTTGAATTCACAGAGATCTGCATGCCTCTGCCTCCTGAGTTGTAGGACTAAAGGCGTGTGCTACCACCGCCCTGCTGCCTTTTGGCTTATTTTAACCTTTTTGTTTTTTGTGGTACTAGGATCACACCTATGAACTTACACATGCTAGACAAGTACTCTACTAGTGAATATCTGGCAAACCCTACCTTAAGCTTCATTATAGAAAAATTCAAACCTGTACAAAAGTAGAATAACAATATAATGATTCCCCATACAAAAGTAGAATAACAATATAGTGATTTCCCATGAACTTGCTTTATTTAATTACTAAGTTTCTTTATTTCCTTGCTACATAATACCCCTAGATATCTTATCATTCCTAAATTAGCTATCTATCGGGTTTTGATTTTGCTTTTTATTCCAGTTATGATGTCAATAATAGGAAACATGTAATTAATAGGTAAACAAATCGACGATTAAATTCCTGGTAAGGATCCTTTCCATTGAAATGTCTTTTCTTAGTTTTAAGGTCTGCCAGAGAAGCTTTTTTTTTTTTTTTTTTTTTTTTTTTTTTTTTAATTTTTAATTTTTACATTCCAACATAGTTCTCACTCCCACACCACCTCCTGCTTGCCCTCGCTTCCTCCCACTTTCCCTAGCCCACCCCCAAGTCCATTACTCCTCTAGTAAGGGTTCCCATGTGGAGTCCACTTAGTCTGGCACAATAGGTTGGGCCAGGGCCAGGCCCCTCTCCCATGCATTATAGCTGACCATGGCATCTCACCATGGGGAGTGGACTCCAACAAGCTAGCTCAGGTACCAGGTTTGTATCTTCGTCCTACTGCTTAGGGGCCCCTCTGATAGTTGAAGCTTTACAACTGTCTCCCACATATGGAGGGCCTAGTTCATTCTCCTGGAGTCTCCACAGTTGTATGTCTAGAGTTCATGAGTTTCCATAAGCTTGGTTCCAGAGGTTCCAGATGCTGTTAAGCTAAAGCCTTCAGCCCTGTTGATCTAGATTAGGAATTCTATGGTATGAGCACTTGGTGCTTCATGAAGATCCTAACACTAAATTAAGAATAACAGTACAAAGTGTTTTTGTGTAATCATTATGCTTACATCCCTCATATGTTTTCCATTCTTTATTGCGTCTTTCTTTTATACTTACTGTTTCACAGTAAACAGAAAATACCAGAGGGTGGTGAAGCAGATCCACTTCCAGTGTGGGGACAGTGATTTCTACTTGTAAAACAGCACCAAAATTTATGAATTAAAATGTAAATATTTGAGTATGTAGCTACATAGAATTTTGTTTGGCCTTTGAAGTTTTAAAAATAATGCATGGAACTCCTGTGTACCCTTTGATCTAGATTTACCAAGTTTTAGCGTTTTATATTTGCCTTTTCATTCTCTACTTTTTTTGGGACCTTTTGAGAGTAGCTTGCAGATATCGTAGACAAGTGTGAAGAGTTTTTATAAAAAAATGTAGTAGCCATTATTCATTCTATAGTTACTGTAGTCAGGCATACTAAATAGTGACAGCTTTGTCTAAATTAACATCATTTAATTCTTATGGTCTGATTAGGGGAATGATGGGATGGGTGTTCATTTAGCCACCGAACATGGTGAGGCTCAGAAAAATTTAGATGAGGATTTGTAGCTGATGAAAAATTGAGTAGAATATGCATTGAGGTCTCTGTGGCTTTACCTTGAACCACCCAGACCCCTTTCGTAAGCCTATTATGTTTTCAAAGATCAACCACTGCATTTTGATTCTGTGCTGAGGGTGAGAAACCATCTCATGGTGGTGAGAAATGATCTTTAAATCCTTCCTAGTTCTCCAATCCTTTACTCCAACTGCTTTTGAACTGCTGAGTTAGCTTAAATGAGAAAAAAGAGTGAGAAGTAAGGTACAAAGCAGCTCTTTTATAGAAATAGATATTTGTGGGGGGTATGCTCTTATTTGTGGACTTTTTTCCCTTCATTGCAGGCTAAGCAGATCGAACTTCAATTCACCATTGGTGAAGCCATCACCAGTGCTGCAATAGGAACTAACTCTGTGGCTGCCCGAGATGCCTGGGTGGTGACTGAAGAAGAATATACACCTCTTGCTGGTATCAAATACTTACCTAATTGATTTACAGTTATTGATTGACTTCCTTCTGTTCTCTGTCATATTTGAGGCAAAAATAATTTTTCCCCAAGTATTGATACAGGACTTCTAATTTGGTCTGTCAAGGAGAATGGTTAATTAAAGAATATTGAACAAGCCAGGTGGTGGTGGTACATGCCCTTAATCCCAGCACTTGGAGGCAGAGGCAGGCATATTGCTGTGAGTTTGAGGCCAGCCTTGTTTACAGAGCTAATTCTAGGATAGCCAGGGCTACATAGAGAAATCCTGTCTTGAAAAACCAAAAAGGGGAAAAAAAAAAAAAAAAAAAAAAAAAAAAAAAAAAAAAGATTGAACATGGCTGGGCCTGGTGGTGCCTTTAATCCCAACTTTCAGGAGGCAGAGGCAGGAGTATCTCTGAGTTCAAGGTCAGTCTAGTTCACATATCGAGTTCTAGGCCAGTTAGAGCTACATAGTGAGATCTTGTCTCTGTGTCTCCCCAAAAGATTGAGTATGAAAATGAAAACTCTCCGAGTCTCTTGTATTTAATGACGCTCCACTAGCTCCTACTAGTCCTGGAAGTATGCTAGAATTTAGTGACTACATAATGAGAGTATGTATGTGGTTTCTGAGTATATATTACAGATATTAAGATTTCAGAATAAAATGATGTATTACTGGGTGGTGGTGGCCCACACCTTTAATTCCAGCACTCAGGAGGCAGAGGCAGGTGGATGTCTGGGACAGGCTCCAAAGCCACAGAGAAACCATGTCTTGAAAAACGAAAACAAAACAAAAAGATGATGTATGCTTGTAATCCCACCACTTGGGATGCTGAGGCAGGAGGATTGCAACTTGAAGGACATGTGGGCTATATAATGAGATCAAAGCCTGTATGTGTCTCAAAAACAAAACAAAGCAAAACAAAATAAAAATACTACAAAAACAAATTCAAGGGCTAGCAAGTAAAGGTGCTTGCAGTTAAGGTTTGATACCCTGAGTTCTATCAGTAGACCACGTGGTATAGAACCAGTTGTAGCAAAGCTGACCTTCACTTCCTCATGCATGCCCTTTCATTCATGTGTACATAGGTACACTCAAAACACAACAAAGTAAAACAAAAATCCAAAAACACAAACTTAAATATCTTCTAGTGTTGGGTTGAATTTAGAATTGAAAATATATTTTAATATTGAACCAGGATTATTTTAAATATTTATTTTGAAAGAAAAATCATAAAGTATTTTTATTTTATCTTAGTTGGGAAAATTAAATAGGAATATTTTCATGGTAACAATACCATTGTGAATTATATTCTGTAATGAATATAGTTTTGTGCTTAGTGTTATAGTTAATGTTTATTATTGTAGTATCTTCACCTATTATTATGTAATCTTATCATAGAGAGACTTAAATAAAAAAAAGTGTTTTTCTTACAGTATAAGTATGACTGTGGTTGATGGAAGCCACACTAGCTCTCTGAAACTTCTCTTTGAATGCATGTGAGGAAAAGAAAGTTGACATTTGTATAATGGAAGGGAGAAGGGCCATTCATCAAGCTCTAGTGCTTTTAGGATTGTGAACCCCCCGAGTAATGAGGAAGAGACAAATGTGTTAATAGCTGAATGACAAAAGTGAAATGTAAAGATATTCCTTAGTTTGTTTTTAGAAGGAAGTTTAGAAAGATTTAGTAAAGAAAAAAGTTGCTGAGATTGAAGAGAGTGGGATAATTTTTCAATCCAATGAACTAGTTATTTGATACTTTAAAAAGATTAGTTTATGCTAGGCTCTGGACATTCTTGGTCATTTGAATTTTAACATCAGGTTATTGTATGATTTTTGTGGAAATTTTTTTTTTATAGGAAAAATGTTTTAACTGTGATCTTTCTTCGCTTTTTCCTCAGGTGCCAAAATGAATGATGTTGTTCCCTGGGTTTTAGAAGTTATTTTAAGTAAGCATATTATCAGTCCCAACCCACATGTGAGGCAAGCAGCCTGCATCTGGCTCCTTTCTCTTGTGAGGAAGCTAAGTACCCATATAGAAGTGAAGGTATGCTTCATAATATGAATTGTATATGTGATGAACTCTATAAGTATTTATAAATTAAAACAGCAAGAAAGTGTATGAGTTTGGAATCATTAACAAATAGCAATAGTTCAGAAATAAGCTCCATGTGAAACAGTAAGGATGATGATATGATTAATACTGACAAGAAAATGACCTAATGTGAAGATGTAAAGTCAGAAGTGCTAGTAATGGGGATACTCATATTGAGACAAAGGTTAGACTGAATGCTTAGACTACCTTTGAGGGTACAACTTCTAATATGGACATCTGTAAATAAAGATGAGGGAATGGAAAGGTGGATGACTGCTTTAATACTGACTCTCTGGCCTCAGTGTATCATAACAGTGAGATCCTTGTTTCTCTGTATCTGTAGGTCTTAAGTGTTCTAAAGCCTTTTCTCTTCTTCCAGTCTCATCTTAAGGAAATTCAGAGTGCATTTGTTTCGGTTCTGTCAGAAAATGATGGTAGGTTGTTGGTAACTACTTGACTTGTTAGCGTCTTTAAACTTATTATTTTAAATTTTAAAAATTGAAATGAAATGTAGCACAAAAACTTGTAAAATAAAACCAGCCATATGCTTTTAATCCCAGCATGTGGGAGGTAAGAGGCAGGAGGGTCATGAAATTCTGTCTCTACCTAGAATTGCAATAATATTAAAAATTAATTTTTTTTAGTATTAAAGGTAATTGTATTAAAGTGAAAGCCAAGATTAACTAGTACCATTTTCCTAGGGTACAGGAAATTGAAATTCTTTTTTATGTATGAATTAAAACAGCTTCTGCAACTTTATATTTTTAAAATGGAGTTGGGGCCTTAACATTAGTGTTAAACTTTTTCTACTTGTGATTATTTGTCCTCTTTGATTAAAGCCAGGGAAGCATAATATGTTAGAAATTTAAATAATAGCTTTAAAAAAAAAAAATCTCATTTAAGACGTGTAGACTTACATTCCCTTTATTTTTCTAAAATTGCATATGGGTGTCAGGGTAGTTGTTTTATCTTTAATATAAACCACTTATGTTAATATTATGATACCATAGTTATTACTGTGACACTGTAGTTTATTGGCATTTTATTAGTTTTTTTATCATGATTTCTCATTTTTGTTGACTCATGATATCATGTCTACTGAGTTGATTTAGGAAAATAGAGTGATTCTGCTTTTATATCTCTACTTTTATATAATACATTTTAGAGTAAAGATAAGTACTTGATAGAAAATAATTGGTCAGGAGATAAATTTCTTTTAGAATAGTGTAATTTTGTCTTTTTTTTTTTTTTTTTTTTTTTAAGAACTCAGTCAAGATGTTGCCTCAAAAGGGCTTGGGTTGGTTTATGAACTGGGCAGTGAACAAGATCAACAAGAATTGGTGTCTACACTTGTAGAAACACTTATGACTGGCAAAAGGTATAGAATTTAAAAATTTCTGGTACGAATACATAGGACATTCATATTATGATATGGAATAAGGAAAAATTCTACCTTATATTTTCTAATTAAGCCATTGCATATGATTGTTACACAGTTTAATTATCCCAGTGTATATACTATTTACATGAACTAGGTCATGTTTTCAAACTTGAATTGTCTCATGACAATTAAAGCTTCAGGTTAGAAAAACACTATAATACCTTTGGCTAAAGAGAGTTAAGATGTGATTAATAAACTTGAATGTCATTTATAATCTGATCTGTGATGAGTACATGGAGGGGGATTGGTTTTGCAATTGCTTGCTGCTTTCTGTTAACCTCCTGTGCTGTTGGTTGTTATTTACTCTTAGCTTTTTTGAGGGCCCACCACCTAGCTCTGAAATAAATACACGGAGACTTACTATTTATAAATGCCTGGCCTTAGCTTGGCTTATTTCTTGCTAGTTTTTCTTTCCTTGTTTTTTTTTTTTTTTTTTTTTTGTCTTGAGACAGGGTTTCTCTGTGAAACAGTCCTGGCTTAAATTATCCCCCCTACCTTTTGTCTCTGGGCTTTTTCCTTTTCTTATTTTCACTGTTACTCCATGTTTGGCTGGAGGGTTGGGTGGCTAGCCCCTGACATCCTTCTCTCCTTGTTCTATCTTGTGCCGTCCTCCTTCCTTTTCTTGTTTCTCCTATTTATGCCCCCCCTATCCTTTCTCCTGCCTTGCTATTGGCTATTGCTATTCATTAGACCAATCAGGTGTTTTAGACAGGCAAAGTAGTACAGCTTCACAGAGTTAAACAAATGTAACATAAAAGAGTGCAGCTCATCTTGCATCATTAAAACAAATGTTTTTCAGTATAAACAAATATAACACACTTTAAAATAATTTTTTATAACCTTGGTTATAACTCTATACAGAAATCTTTAGTATCTGCAAATTTGTTTGCATTTGAGTTTAGAAAGTTTCCAGTCTGGCAGAAAAAAATAGTTTATATATTTCATACACTAGATACAGATTTTATTAGTTTGAAAATGGATGTATCCATTTGCTTATTGTTTGTATAGAAAATTTGAAGCTAAATTTTTATTTGTTTTAGAGCTAAACATGAAGTTTCTGGAGAGACAGTGGTATTTCAAGGGGGAGGCCTTGGCAAAACACCTGATGGGTAAGTGTGCTAAATCTAAAACCAGTGATCAACTAAGACATAGCAGGAATGTTGTTTGTTGATGGATAAATAAACACTCTATTGTTTAGATTGGGTTTCCTTGGAAATAGACTCTGAGCTAGAGATTGGTATGCTGGAAGTTTATTGGAGAATACCCTTGGGAATGTCTTTGGGAGGGGTGAGCAAGTAGATAGCTGATGTAGAGGGAAAGTTCCATAGCCTCACTGGACACTAGATTCCTGAGGTGCTATAAGCTAGGATGACATGGCCTTTCAAGGTTGTCCTTCTCTGAGGCACAGAGCCTTGACCTTGGGCCTACTTTTTAGGCATTTATGCCTGTTCAGTGACTAATAACTTGTGGTATGCTGCTTTGTGGGTGACCATGACCGTAAAGACTTAAGATTCTCAGAGACTGACATTAGGTTCAGAACTATCTGTCTACTTCCAGGTGGTTTATCTCTCCTGTTATTCTGTATCTCACTGTTTTCACTTTGAAAGTCCTTTTTATTTCCTTGTTTTTTACGATTCTTTCTGAGCTTTTCTGTCTTGTTTTTTCTTCCTTTCTCTTTTATGGGGATAAGGTCTTATTATATTGTCTAGGTGGTTCCTGAACTAGTTGGCTCAGTTGAATCCTCTGGTATGACTACAGAGGTACAAACTACTGTATCTAGCTTCTTTCTGAATTAAAAAAGTGATGATTTTTCACAAAATGATATTTAAGCAACTAAAATTTACTTCAAGGAAATTTAATACAAAGAGATTTTCAAATGATTCATGGTTATGAGAGATTGTGTACAATATGATGAGTTGTTGAGTTGTCTTCTGAGGTGCAAAGAGCTTCAGTTCCATGGGAAGTGGAGATGCATTTTAGGTATTGTGCTTGTTACTACCATATACCTGATAAAAAAGTGACTTAGTGTATGAGGGCTTATTCTGGTTCACAGATGGATGCTGTAAGATCCATCATGAAAGGGAAGGAATGCTGGTAGATGACTCTGGTTGTAGGAGTGTTTAGTTGGGCTTCCAACTCCTGACCTCTTGGTGGAATAGAAAGGAGAGATGGGACTGGACTCTAATATCTCAAAGCTTATTCCTGAGTAACTCCTTCCTCCAGACAACAAAGATCAGCCCTTTTAGCGATTCTACAACTTTCCAAAACAGTGCCATGAGCTGGGCACCAAGAATTCAAACACATGAGCCTATGGGAGGCCTTTCACATTCAAATCACAATATTTATTTACCAGCAGAAAGACTGAAGAATTATTGATAATAGAGATATATGAGTTTATATTCTTTTTTTCTGTCTCCTCAGTGATGAACATGGTATTAGTAACTCAGGGAAAGGATAGTTTAAAAGAGTCCACCTGTAATATTGGTGGTAAAATTCACATCAACGCAAAGATAGCTAGAAAAATGTTTTTATTTTGTATTTCTTTTTGTTTCAAAGCCAGGGTCTTTCTACTTACAAAGAGCTTTGTTCTCTGGCAAGTGATCTTAGTCAGCCAGATCTGGTATATAAATTTATGAATCTGGCAAATCACCATGCAATGTGGAACTCCAGGAAGGTAAGTTGCTATATTGTTTTGTTTCTTAAATTTTTGCTGGAGGTCAAACCAGGGTGTCATGCATACATGACAAGTGCTCTACTACTGGATGAAATACCCCCAGCTCTCACTGAGTTTTTAGTTTGTATTTTCTCCAAAACCAAACTTGGTATATTAACCATGTAGTGCCAGTTGATATGTAGTTAATTTTGAAAGGTTTATGTCTAAAAGTCAAACTACCATATTAGCCATTATTATTGCTAAAGCTCGAATACTAAATAATGCTCTATTCAAGGACAAATTTTAGAAAGAATATTTTGTGACTTGTTTTTGTATTTTATGTGTTGGTATTTTACTATGGCAGGCACATATAAGTCACTCTTTTTATTATTTATAGGGTGCTGCTTTTGGTTTTAATGTAATTGCTACTAGAGCTGGAGAACAACTGGCTCCTTTTCTGCCTCAACTAGTTCCTCGACTTTATCGTTACCAGTTTGATCCCAATCTTGGAATTCGACAGGCTATGACAAGTATTTGGAATGCATTGGTTACTGACAAGTCAATGGCAAGTATCTTTGAACCTGTGTTAGGAAATCTAGCTTGGCTATGGTACCACATGGACTGAAACCCAGTGTTCCCCTCACCCCCTTCACTTTGTATATTTATTTGCTTTCATTGCTTGTTTATTTTTTCTTTCAAAGATGATGTAACATTTACTGAGATCTCAAAGATGAAAGTGATCTAAATGTTCATTGGGTGGATAGATAGTTTAAAGAATTACAGTATATTCACATAAATGGAATATTATGTGTTAACAGGGATCACTGATGCCATGGGGAATGGGTCCATGCTTACAGAGTTACTTTCATTGGGAAGACAGAGAAAAGAAATAGTCAATTGTTATATATATATATATATATTTTTTTTTTTGGTTCTGTCATCTGACTATTCTATCCTCCTTTCAGATATGACGGTTTCTCAGGAAGTGCTCTGAATACTGTTGTCCTCTTAGCTTTCTTTTTGTTAATTCTTGGGCAAATAAACATTCTGTTTATTGTAATGGTCCTCAGTTCTATTCTGGGTCAGATAGGACATGTACTCCATCCATATTTATGAATTTAACTTCCTGGTTATTGTTTTCACTTTACTGTTGTTCACATGTGCCATAACTGTAACGTGTCCAGTAAAGAGCTGACAAGCAAAAAGACACCTTTCCTTCTTTACTCTTACTGTTCATTGTAAGGGGTACGGTTTTTCCGCCCGCCGCCTGGTATTGTCCTGCCGCCGCGCCAGCCCCAAATAATACACAGAGACTCTGTATTTGATACAATGCTGTTGGCCCGGTTACTTGTTTCTTATCGGCTAGCTCTGCCTTAATTATTAACCCATTTCTGCTGATCTATGTATTTCTCTTACCGGGGGAGCCGGCGGCATACTGCTTTCTTCAGACTCTCCATCTTGACTCCTCCTTACTACTTCCTATTTCCTCCTTGTCTCCTAGTCCCTCCTATCTTCTTACCCTATTGGCTAACAGTGCTTTATTATTAACCAGTATGAGAAACATATATACAGAATGACATCTCCTATCAGTTCATGTATTTGTCCAAGCCAGTAAATTTGCTGTCACCTTTTTTCTGTCTCTGTCTTATAGGTGTTCCCCCCACCCCCAAATCCCACATTGAATTTAGTAGCAGTTTTTCTTGAGTCTGCTCCCTTCTCCCTCCCTCCCTCCCTCCCTCCCTCCCTCCCTGCCTCCCTCCCTCCCTCCCTCCCTCCCTCCCTCCCTCCCTCCCTCCCTCCCTGCCTCCCTCCCTCTCTCTCTCCTTCCCTCCCTTTTACTCTCCCTTTTACCCTCTCTGCCCTCTCACATGCATTCTAACCACCCTCCCCTCCCATCACCCCACCCCAATTCCATATGTATGGGAATGCCATCCAGTTGGGGTCATGTAGATCTGTCAGGTCATGTGAAGTAGGGACTAGGGCTTCTCTCCTGTCTCTAGATTAAGGCAGTTATCCCTCCATGGGGGATATGTTTGCAAAGTCCTTATGTGCACCAGGGATACATCCTGGCTCCACTGTCTGAGGTCCATTAGACTGCTCAGTCCTTCTGGCTGAGACCCATATTCAGGGGGGCCTGAGTCAGTCCCATGCTGGCTTCCCAGCTATCAGTCTAGTGGCCATTAGCTCCTCCTTGTTCAGGTAAGCTATCTGTATGTGCTTCTGCCACATGGTCTTGTCCTCTCCATCTGCATCTGGGTTCTAGTTTGACTCAGTGTTTATGTGTGGGTGTTTGATCCTGTTTTCCACAGGCATTAATTGAGGGCTCTATGGAGAAGTTAGTTGTTGATCTCACTTTCCGGGAAGGGCATTTACGATAGCCTTTCCACGGAAGCTCAAATTGTTAGTTGGGAGCAGTCTTGTAGTTCTCTAGACCTTTCTTTGTGTTCAATTTTATCTTCAAACCAATACTAGTTCCCTCTTTTATGTTCTCTCTCTCTCTCTCTCTCTCTCTCTCTCTCTCTCTCTCTCTCTCTCTCTCTCTCTCCTGTCTCATCTTCTATTCCTAACCAGGCTCAATCTTCCTGGTCGCACATTTTCCTTTCCTCCCCCTCATTTTCTCCTACTTCTCTCTCCATTTGCTGCTTCCCCCCACTTCACCTGAGCTCTGGGGGACTTGTCCCTTCCCAGTTCTGTGAGGGACTGTATATGAATCTCTTAGAATACACCTTGTATCCTAGTTCCTCTGGTGATGTGAATTATAGGCTGGTGATCCTTTGCTCTAGGTCTAAAATCCATATATGAGTGAGTACATACTGTGTTCCTCTTTTTGTGACTGGGTTACCTCATTCAGGATGGTTTCTTCAAGTGCCATCCACTTGCCTGCGAATTTCAAGATACCATTATTTTTTTCTGCAGAGTAGTATTCCATTGTGTAGATTTGCCACATCTTCATTATCCATTCTTCAATTGAGGGGCATCTAGGTTGCTTCCAGGTTCTTGCTATTACAAATAGTGCTGCTATGAACATACTTGAACAGATGTCTTTGTTGCATGGATGTGAATCCTTTGGTTATATGCCTAAGAGGGGGATTGCTGGATCCTGTGGTAAACTAATTCCCATTTTCCTGAGGAACCGCCATACTGATATCCAAAATGGCTGTATGAGTTTGCACTCCCACCAGCAGTGGAAGAGTGTTCCACTTTCCACATCCTCTCCAACATAAGTCATCACTGGTGTTTCTAATTTTAGCCATTCTGGCAGGGGTAAGATGGTATCTCAAAGTTGTTTTGATTTGCATTTCCCTGATAGCTAAGGATGTGGAGCATTTTCTAAAGTGTCTTTCAGCCTTTTTGATTTCCTCTATTGAGAATTCTTTTTTCAGTTCTGTACCCCATTTTTTAAGAGCGTTATTTGGTATTTTGTTGACTAGTTTCTTGAGTTCTTTGTATATTTTGGAGATCAGCCCTTTGTCGGATAGAGGATTGGTGAAAATCTTTTCCCAATCTGTGGGCTGCCGTTTGGTCTTGTCCACTATGTCCTTTGTTTTACGGAAGACTCTAAGTTTGAAGAGGTCCCATTTATTAATTGTTTCTTTCAGTGTCTGTGCCCCTGGAGTTATGTTCAAGAAGCGGTCTCCTATACCAGTTTGTTCCAGGGTACCTCCTACTTTTCTCTTCTAGAGGTAAAATGTGGCTGGATTGATATTGAGGTCTTTGATCCATTTGGACTTGAGTTTGTGCATGGCGACAAACATGGGTCTATCTGCAGTCTTCTACACACCCTCATCCAATTGTCCCAGCACCATTTGTTGAAGATGTTGTCCTCGCCCCATTGTATAATTCTAGCTGTTTTGTTGAAAATCAGGTTTTCATAGGTGTGTGGGTTAATATCAGGATTTTCAATTCAATTCCATTGGTCTACCTGTCTATTTTTGTGCCAATACCAGGCTGTTTTCAGAACTATAGCTCTGTAGTAGAGCTTCAAGTCAGGAATGGTGATGCCTCCTGAAGTTCTTTTATTGTATAGGGTTGTTTTGGCTATCCTGGATCTTTTGTTTTTCCATATAAAGTTGATTATTATCCTTTCAAGGTCGGTGAAGAATTGTGGTGGGATTTTAATGGGGATTGCATTGAATCTGTAGATTGCTTTTGGTAAGATTGCCATTTTTTACTATGTTTCTCCTACCTATCCAAGAGCATGGGATATCTTTCCATTTTCTGGTATCTTCTTTAATTTCTTTCTTTAGAGTAACAAAGTTTTATTATATAGGTCTTTTACTTGTTTGGTAAGCGTTACACCAAGATACTTTATGTTGTTTGTGGCTATTGTAAAGGGTGATGTTTCTCTGATTTCTTTCTCTGTCTCTTTGTCGTCTGAAAAAAGTAGGGCTACTGATTTTTTTGAGTTTTTCTTGTATCCTGCTAGTTTGCTGAAGGTGTTTATCAGCTGTAGGAGTTCCCTGGTAGAGTTTATTGGGTCGCTTATGTAAACTATCATATCATCTGCAAATAGAGACTGTTTGACTTCTTCCTTTCCAATTTGGATCCCCTTGATCTCCTTTTGTTGTCTTATAGCATTAGCTAGAACTTCTAGTCCGATATTGAAGAGATATGGAGAGAGAGGACAGCCTTGTCTTGTTCCTGATTTTAGAGGAATTGGGTTAAGTTTCTCTCCATTCAGTTTGATGTTGGCAGTTGGTTTGCTGTATATTGCTCTTATTATGTTTAGGTATGTTCCTGTTATCCCTGACCTCTCCAAGACCTTTATCATGAAAGGATATTGAATTTTGTCGAAGGCTTTTTCCACATCTAAGGAGATAATCATATGGTTTTTCTTTTTCTGTTTGTTTATATGGTGGATCACGTTGATAGATTTTCGTATGTTTAAACCATCCCTGCATTACAGGTATGAAGCCTACTTTGTCATGGTGGATGATTTCTCTGATGTATTCTTGAATTCGGTTTGCCAGTATTTTATTGAGTATTTTTGCATCAGTGTTCATCAGTGATATTGGTCTGTAGTTTTCTTTCTTACTTTTGTCTTTGTGAGGTTTGAGTACCAAAGTTATTGTGGCCTCATAAAAAGAGTTTGGCAATGAACCTTCTATTTCTATCTTGTGGAACAGTTTGAGGAGTAGTGGTATTAGTTCTTCCTTGAATGTCTGGTAGAATTCTGCACTGAATCCATCTGGCCCTGGACTTTTTTTTGTTGGAAGGCTTTCGATGACTGCTTCTATTTCATTGTGGGTTATAGGTCTATTTAAGTTGTTTGTCTGTTCTTGATTTAATTTTGGTAAGTGATAGTTATCCAGAAATTTGTCCATTTCCTTTGAATTTTCAATTTTTGTGGAATACAGGTTTTCAAAGTATGACCTGAAAATTGTCTGGATTTCCTCTGTGTCTGTTGTTATGTTCCCCGTTTCGTTTCTGATTTTGTTAATTTGCATGTTCTGTCTCTGCTTTTTCGTTAATTTGGATAAAGGTTTGTCTATCTTGTTGATTTTTCTGAAAAAACCAACTCTTCGTTGCATTGATTTTTTTTTTTTTTTTTTTTTTTTTTTTTTTTTGTATTGTTTTCCTGGTTTCTATTTTGTTGATTTCAGCCCTCAAGTTGATTATTTTCTGGCATCTACTCCTGCAGGGTGAATTTGCTTCTCTCTGTTCTAAGGTTTTCAGTTGGGCTGTTAATTCTCTTATGTGAACATTCTCTGTTTTCTTCATATGGGCACTTAGTGCAATGAACTTCCCTCGTAGCACTGCTTTCATGGTGTCCCATAAGTTCGGTTATGTTGTATCCTCATTCTCGTTGAATATTAGAAAGTCTTTAATTTCTTTCTTTATTTCTTCTTTGACCCAGGAGTGGTACAATTGCACATTGTTCAGTTTCCATGAGTTTGCAGGTTTTCTGCTATTTGTGTTGTTGTTGAATTCCAATTTTAAAGCATGGTGGTCCGATAAGATACAGGAGACTATTCCTATTCTCCTGTATCTGTTGAGGTTTGTTATGTCACCTAGTATGTGGTCGATTTTAGAGAAGGTTCCATGTGGAGCAGAGAAGAAGGTATATTCTTTTGTCTTTGGATGGAATGTTCTATAGATGTCTATTAACCCCAGTTGAGACATAACTTCTGTTAATTCTTTTTTTTTCCTTTGTGGAGTTTCTGATTTGTGGTCCTGTCTAGTGTTGAGAGTGGTGTATTGAAGTCTCCCACTATAAGTGTGTGAGGTTTTATATGAGCTTTGAGTTTTAGTAGTGTTTCTTTTACGAATGTGGGTGCCTTTGTATTAGGGGCATAGATGTTCAGAACTGAGACTTTGTGTTGATGGATTTCTCCTGCAATGAATAAGAAATGACCGTCTTCATCTCTCTTGACTAATTTTGGTTTGAAGTCTAACTTGTTAGATATTAGGATAGCTACGCCTGCTTGCTCTTTGGTTCCATTTGATTGGAAAATCTTTTCCCAACCCTTTACCCTGAGGTAATGTCTATCTTTGAAGCTTAGATGTGTTTCTTGTATGCAGCAGAAGGATGGATTCTGTCTTCGTATCCATTTTGTTAGCCTGTGTCTTTTTATAGGTGAGTTAAGACCATTAATGTTGAGGGTAAGTAAGGACCATTGATTGTTGATTCTTGTTTGATTTAGGTTTGTTGTTGGCAGTGGTATTGTGAATATATTAGTTCTGCTTCACCCTTGGTTTCTAGTGTAGTTGGATTATCTGTTGCCTACATTTTTGTGGGCGTAGTTACCTTCCTTGGGTTGGAGTTTTCCTTCCAATACTTTCTGTATGGCTGGATTTGTAGATACATATTGGGAAAATCTGGTTTTGTCATTAAATATCTTGTTCTCTCCATCTATAGTGATTGAGAGTTTTGCTGGATATAGTAGCCTAGGCTGGCATCCGTGTTCTCTTAATACTTTTAGAACATCTATCCAGGACCTTCTGGCCTTGAGGGTTTCCATGGAGAAGTCGGGTGTAATTTTGATAGGTCTGCCTTTATATGTTACCTGTCCTTTTTCCTTCACTGCTCTTAATATTCTTTCTTTATTCTGTATGCTAGGTGTTTTGCTTATTGTATGTTGAGGGGCTCTTTTTTCTTTGGTCCAGCCTATTTGGGGTTCGGTATGCTTCTTGTACTTTCATGGGCAGATTTGGAAAGTTTTCCTCGATGATTTTGTTGAATATGTTTTCGGCACCTTTGAGCTGGGCTTCCTCACCTTCCTCTATGCCTATTATTCTTAGGTTTGGCCTTTTCATGGTGTCCCACATTTCCTGGATATTTTGTGTTAAGGATTTGTTGGATTTATGATTTTCTTTGTTCGATGAATCTATTTCTTCTAGTTTATCTTCTGTGCCTGAGATTCTCTCTTCCATCTCTTGAATTCTATTGGTTATGCTTGTATCTGTAGTTGCCGATTTTTTTGCCCAGCTTTTCAATTTCCAGCATTCCTTCTGTTTGTGTTGCCTTTATTTTCTCTATTTCAGTTTTCAAGTCTTGAACTGAACTGTTTCCTTCACCTGCTTAATTGTTTTTTTGGCTTTCTGTACTTTCCTTAAGGAATTTCTTCATTTCTTCCCCTTTTTTGTTTGTTTTTTTTCCCTCCATTTCTTTAAGGGATTTTCTCAAATCTTCTTTGAGGGCCTCTATCATTTTTATGATGGTAATTTTTAAGTCATACCCTCTGCTTTGTTGTTGTGTTCCGTTCTAGTTGGTGTAGATTCCCTAGATTCTGGTGGTGTCATGCTTGTCTTTCTGTTGTTAGATGTTTTCTTGTATTGCCTTCTTCCCATAGCTTCTTCCAGTAGGTGTTGGTGGGGTCTCCCCCTCTCTCTATGGTATTTCCCCGATGGGCTTATGTGGGTCTGAGATTCAGTATCTTTAGCTCTGTGTGGTCCAAGCTCTCTAGGAGGTTTCTCCATAGACAGGGATCCAGGGATGGGGTCAAGGATGAGGATCCAGAAGAAGATGCCAGCAGGTACTCACATTGGTCCTCTGGCCAATAGCTCTGGCCAATAGTTGGCGGAAGAGGGCAAGGGCTGAGCTGGAACTTGAGAAGGTTTTGCAGGATAGTCGGATCTCACTGGAAACTGGCGCTCTCCAGCTGAGACCTGGTTCTTTGGCAGAGGCCAGGATTTGGGGGTCAAGGATCTTGCCAGCAGGAACTCAGAGTGGACCTCTGGCCAATAGCTGGCGGAAGAGGACAAGGGCTGAGCTGGAACTTGAGAAGGTTTTGCAGGATAGTCAGATCTCACTTGAAACTGGCGCTCTCCAGCTGAGACCTCGTTTTTTGGCAGAGGCCCGGATTTGGGGGTCAAGGATCTTGCCCGCAGGAACACAGAGTCTGGTTAAAATTCTTATATGGATTTTAGTTCATATTTTTTCTTTCCAATACTGGTGTTTTAGCCCAGGCTCTTAAACATGCTAGGCAAATGCTCTACCACTAATATTTCCCAAGACCTATTTAAAAAGTACTTATTTTGATACAAGATCTTGATCTGATTCATACTCAGCCCTGAACATTTGTACTTCTTGCTCAGCCTCCAGATTAGCTTAGGTTACTTTGAACTTGCAGTTTACTGTTACAACTGAGTCTACCATCAGTTTGTTATCACCAAAGCTTAGATTAAACTCACTCATCCTTCTTGACCCACACATTACAAGATCTGGGACATGGTACAGTTCTGTTCTTTTTCTTACATATATGACACAGTTTATTCCCATTCATGGTTGTTGGTACTTGAGGATTCGACTTTGAGCGCTCATTGGATTCTAATTGCTCTAGGATAAGATGTGGGTCAACCAAGATTTAATTGGCTAATGGAGTTATAAATATGAGTTCAGTTTACTGGGGTTGGCTCTTGAAATGTGGGCATGTTCTTTGAGTGAAGGACTGTTAAACCACAATTATGATGAGACACCTATGGAGAATACAGGAGGGGATGTGGGAAGCTACCTGCTTATTTAATTTTAGGTGAGTTATTTATTTCTCTGCTTTGATCATCTAACATGTAAATGTGTATAACAAAACTATAAGAGTAAAAGTGAAAAAGTTGAGAATCTTTAGATCTGTTGGTGTGACAACTGAGTCTCCCCATCAATTTATTTTTACCAAAGCTTCGATCAAGCTCACCTAACCTCTGAATCATTGTAATACTTGTTTTTGCACCAAACACTGCAAAGTACAGAGATGCCCTTTGACCACTGAGGTCTCCAGTGTAATGGAGCAGTACAATCATAACTTGTGTGATATGATTTACCTTAGGTATGTGCTGTGGTAACATGGAAGAAATTTGATAGCAGAACTTCTCTGAGTGGTGGCTACTCTGAATCTCCATGGGCCAAAAGTAGTTACTCAAGTTGGACATGGAAAAGGATTGCAGAAGTAGTATGTGCTAAGTTACCGAACTAAGACCAGACAAGGTATCTGTATGACTGGATGAGTCACAGTGGGCTTGTGTCATATAAAGCCCAAGTGATTAGACTTTATTCCATGTACTATGGAAAAGGATCATCTACCTTTACACTTTAGAGTACTTGCAAAGTGCTCAGAGATTTGTAGGCTGAGAGGCCTAGGAACACTTTAATAAAGAAAACTGATCAGTGCTGTTGGGAGGTAAGTAATTTGATTGTTGGATTTTACATTTTTCATTGTATCTTTTGCTTTCATTAGGTGGATAAATATTTGAAGGAAATTCTTCAAGATGTGATTAAAAACCTTACCAGCAACATGTGGCGAGTTCGAGAATCCAGGTACCACTTGGAAAATTAGATTAGCCAAATAGAGCTGGACAGTACCCTTCAAATTTCTAAGGTTTTTTACATGGTGTAACAAAGATTAAGTTAAAACTACCAATAAATATATTTTTAGTTGAGTTAGTTCTTTTTTTTTAACTATTTGAATTCTACTAGATGATTTGCCTCAATTAGCTTATAAAAGTATGAAGTTAATGAATCTGTGGATCTCTGGTTAAACTGGTAGATGACATAGGGTAGAATTTCTTTATATGTGCAGTTTGTACACATTCAGTGCTTCTTACATGCTTGTGAGACATTGAAAGCACATAGGTAAATTAAAAGTGGTGTATTGTTATATCATTCAAAGGGATTGAATTATATGGTTGTAGGGATTGTCACTGATTTGTTTCCTAATGTTTGAGGTAATACTAGAATAATTATGATTATCTTGGGGTGAGAAATAGATATGTAGTCTATATTATTGTTCAGTATAACTTTTTGGTAGTAAAATATTGGACTTGTTTGAACATATTTTTGAAATAAGTTTTTTTTTTTTTTTTTAGCTGTTTAGCTTTGAATGATTTATTGAGAGGAAGACCTTTAGATGACGTCATTGACAAACTTCCAGAAATGTGGGAAACACTTTTTAGAGTACAAGATGATATTAAGGTATTATAGAAATAAATATACATTTATATATAGACTAATTTAAACTGGAATTATTAAAATATGTCATAGAGTTTAAAAATTCATATATTTCAAAATTCTCTGTCTAGACAATTTTAGGAAACCATAGGTTTATCTCCAAATTTGATATATAAAGTTACAAGATTGGGTATCTTCATTAAACTGAACTGACTTAAAGAAGGTGGCCTTTTCTTTTTAATAGAAATCTCATGATGCTGTTGGATTAGGAGCAAATACCCATTCTGATGTAATATGTAATGACTAAAGTTTCAAAATGTGGACATTCATTTCTAAATAATGTGATTAATAAAAACATCTGTTTCTTGGGTATTTTTTGCTTTATATTACTATAAGCTTAGATAATTTGTAAACGGAAATGGTTTAGCTATTTCAGAGGTTATTATTTATCATGTTTGGGCCTGTGCAAGGTCAGAGTCTGAGGTAGAAGAAAACACTTACTTGGGTAGAGAACAAAGAGAAGGAAGAGTGTCTGAGGCCCCATAATCTCCTTCAAGGGCTTGTTCTCAATGGTCTTGACTTTTCTCCCCATCTCTGAGGTTCTAGTAGTGCCTTTCTGGGGACCCAGCCTTTAGCACATAAATCTTTTGAGGATAATTAAGATCCAACTAAAGTACTAGATTATCTAATTTTTAAATTATTTTGCCATCCTTAAAGTAGACCACTAGGGTTGTCTTTCTTGTTGCTTTATTCATTAGAAAATGCTAATTAGAATTTTCACAGAGATTTTTATGTATTTATTTTTTATACTACATTTTATTTTTGGACTGTTGTAGTTAATGACTATATTTTTATATGAGCAAAAATAGAGGAGATATATATATATATTCCTCAATGGTCAAAGAGCCTAATGAAATATTATCTACTTAAACCTGTTATTGAAAGTTATGTTTTACTATTTTGTATTAGGATCTATGGTAGTTAACTACCCATTATAGAGATAAGAATGAATGCTGCCTAATATATAATGCCAGACTTTTCTCATTTTTAGGAATCTGTACGGAAAACAGCAGAACTAGTTCTGAAAACTCTGAGTAAGGTGAGAATACTCATCTCACAGTAGGATAGAGTAGGTAGGGCAGGGCAGGACTCACCATGCTTTTTTTTGGGGGGGGGGGAAGCATCATGTGACATAGTATTGCCTTGTATAGTTTACTGCTCTTACAGTGAATAAGAAAGTGGGTTCTGTAATGCTAAAGGTAATGTATCTTGAGCACAGTATACTTTTGGTTAAATGCTTCTACATGAGCTATTCCTTCCCTTTGACTCTGAAGAATATATTACTCACTTAAATAAAGCAATATGTCTTTCTTTTAATATTTTTCCTAAATTTATGATGGGCAAGCGTTTTAAAACCAAATAGTCTGCCACTTGGACTTACTATTGTAATTTGCATTCTAATTGCATAAACCTTGTCATTGATCACATTACTAAGTAGTTAAGGGTATGTTTTAAATCCTTTCATGTTTAGGTCTGTGTTCTTTACTAGAATATGTTCTGCCTTTTAAAAAGTGCTTTCTTATAGTGTTCATCACATCTTCACCTCCTTTGTTTTTCATTATACAAATCAGAAAGTAAAAGATCAGAGAATAAAATATATTACCAAATCTTCTGTTTAGATATGGCAGATCTTTAGGACCCAGTTCTGGTTATTCCTCTATCTCCCTACACCCCCCTCCCCCATAATGGCATAGAAAGTAGATTCACTCACTCTTTATTTCTGATAGTGACATAGAAAAGCACTTTGTAAGAGAAATGCTTTAATAGTTGAGAGACCAGCTTCACTAATGTCCATGCTCTTTGTATGTGAGGTTTGTGTGAAAATGTGTGACCCTGCCAAAGGAGCAGCTGGCCAGAGAACCATTGCTGTCCTCCTGCCCTGCCTTCTGGACAAAGGAATGATGAGTCCTGTGACGGAAGTTCGAGCCCTCAGGTGTGGTTTGGTTGAAGTGAATGTATTGGAATTATTTAGTTTATAGCCAGTCTGTAGAAAATGTGTTTTCATGAATGTCAGATTCCTAAAAATATGGAAAATGGGTTGAGGAGAATCTGTGGAGGTAACCCAAGCATTTATGAAAAGATGTGAGTCATAGTATTTTTATAGACCTTGATTTCAATTAGCATTCTGAGTTGCATATTATTCTATTGTCATTGGCCCCTTTCCTTAGCAAGCGCATACTGCTGTTATACCACAGGTCTTCAGGGGGCTTGCTTGTTGGGTATAACCAACTGTTTTGCTGTTCATGGTAAACTAATGTATGTGGTGATTGTTAATGGTGTCTATAACTACTGCCTGAAAGACAATGTGGAACTTAATGATGGTTCAGTGATGACCCTAATAGTGTAAAATAACACAACAGGGGATACATCCTGCATACAGCATTGCTTATGACAGAGTTTTGGTTGTATGGGAGGCAGAGTCTACCCATGTAGCTCACTTTGGCCCTATATTTTCTATATGCAACTCAGCCTGGCCTCAAACTTGTGATCCTTCAGGCTTATATGTCAGAATGTTGGCATTACTCGCATAAGCTGTATTTTTAAAATAATTGAACCTTTACTTGGTTAGCCTACATATTTGTACAGGATATATGTTAACACAGCTGGAATATAATCAGTGAGGTCAAATGAGACAGGTTGGGACTGTTAAAAAGTTTCAAGAATCAAGCTGGTATGATGGCCACACCTTTAATTCTGGTACTCGGGAGGTAGAGACCATCAGATCTCTATGAGTTCAAGACCAGCCTGGTTTATATAGCAGATTTCTTGTCAGTCAATGCTTTGCATAAGGAGACTATCTCAGAAAACATCCAAACAAAGAAAACAAACAAAAAATGTTTGAAGATGGTGTTGGGTAGACTTTGACCTCTGAATCTAGATCCCAACAAACTATCATATTTTTAGATAAAAGTTTTGTTATGTAGCCAAGGCTGGCCTTTTGAGCTCTTAGCCACCCATCTTAATCTCCCAGGTACTAGGACTTCTAGGCATTCACCACAATCAACTCTTAAAGAAAATTTCTGGGAAAACCAGAAAACCTTGGATAATAGATGAGATGACGTTTTGATATTTTTCAAGTATAAAATTGTTCTGTTTGTGGTAAAGTACTTGTCTTATAAGATACATACTGAAATTTATTTAGCTTAAAGTGGTACAACAGTAGGGGAAAATAATGCTTAAATGTATGAAGGAATTACAAATGAAGTAAAATTTGCCATTGTTACTAATTGTTGAAATAGGTAAAGAGGACAAGGAATTTCATCTTGAGCCTCTCTATGTTTTATGTGTGCTTACTTAAAAATATCTGTAATTTTTTTTTTAAGTGCCAAGTGACCTGGGTTCATAACCATAAATTCTACTTTGTCATTGCCTAAATCAGGCTTTGAACCATATGAGTATATTCCTAAATGCAATTGCAGGACATCCTCATGATTAGATTGTAGGACTTTTTATATTTGGTGAAAAGACTCAGATTTTGTGTTCTGTGTGTCTAGCATTAACACCCTTGTGAAGATCAGCAAAAGTGCAGGAGTCATGTTGAAGCCACATGCCCCCAAACTCATCCCAGCACTGCTAGAGTCCTTAAGTGTATTGGAGCCTCAAGTTCTCAATTATTTGAGTCTCCGCCTACAGAACAAGAAAAGGTGAGTTGATAGCAGAATTGTGTTGGTTAGCATTGATGAGGTATGATCACTGTTAGATCCATCCAGTGTCCATAGACACACTCTAACTGATGGTGCTTTCACTCTTAAACACTACATGCAGTGGGTTTGTTTTGTTTTGTTTTTTGGGGGGGGAAGGCCCTGTTCAGCTCATATATGTTTTCATTAATCAGATAAAAATCAATAATTGCACCCTCCTCCCAAGACAGGGTTTTTCTGTGTAGCCTTTGTCCTGGAACTCACTCTTTAGACCAAGCTGGCCACTTACTCAGAGATCACTTGCCTTTGCCTCTGCCTCCTGAGTGCTGGGATTTAAGGCATGCACCACCACCACTTGGCTAAAATTGACAACTTATTAACATAATTTTAAGACTCTAAAATTAGTTTTACATTTTTAGGGGGTGAATCTATACCTAGACTGTGATCTAAAATTGTTCTGCTTTGTCTTTGATCAGTTAGTTTTTAAAAGTTGTCTATGACACCTTTATTAAGGGAAAATGAAATCCACCTGGAAGGGGTAGAAAGCAGTCCCCTAGAGGTCTCCACTGTGAACTGTTGGGGATTGTCCTTCTGTCTGCTGTGAATATATGTTTTTCCTATTGGTTGATGAATAAAGCTGTTTCGACCAATGGACAGGCAGTATGTAGCCAGACAGGAAGTATGGGCAGGACTACTAGACTAGGAGAATTCTGGGAAGAGGCATGGAGAGAGGAGCCTCCAGAGAGATACCAGGTAAGTAGGATGCCTGGGCATTCTCCAGTAAGACAAGATGATGCAAAGATACATAGATTAATAGAAATGGGTTAATAATTGAGAGAGAGAGAGAGAGAGAGAGAGAGAGAGAGAGAGAGAGAGAGAGAGAGAGAGAGAGAGAGAGAGCTAGCCAATAAGAAGCCTAAGCCATTGGCCAAACAGTTTATAATTAATATAAGCCTCCGTGTGTTTATTTGGGACTGAAGGGTGGTGGGACTGGGATGGACAGAAAGCTTTTGTCAACAATGAACAGTTTCTTGAGGCTTCAGAATTATTTTTCATAATAATAAGCTACAAAGCCCCAATTACTCAATTTAAAAACAAAGTCAGAGTTTGGTTATTTTAATAATGTGCATTATGTCTGTATATGTTTTATTTCATTCTTTTCAATTCATTTATACTAAGATCAGGTGGCTATATTTTTGTAGGGAGGTTTTATAATAAAGGTTCTTAAACTTCCCTTATTTCTGTATCTTTGGTAACATTGAATAATTGAATAGCATCAGTCATACAAAGAGCCTTACTGTTGTTTTTGAGTTTTTCCTTTATATACATTGTCAATTATCTTTTTATACTCTCTTAGCTCCAGCCTTCTTACCCGTGCTCCCCCCTCCCCAACTCAGACCTTATGCTTGGAGCACTTTGCCACTCACTGAGCTAAATCCATAACTTTGGGGGCTAGAGAGAGGCCGTAGCAGTTAGCTACTTTGTGGGTATGTACAATCACTCATACTTGCCAGCCCCTATACATAAACAAACAAATGTTTAATCCTTAATTCCCGTTGGCTGTTTATATATTTCTGTGAATTGTGTTTTATTCTATGCCTAGTCTCCCCCCCCCCCTTTTTTTTTTTTTTTTTTTTTTTTTGTTAAATGTAATTTCTTTATTGATTCTTTGGGAATTTCACATCATGCACCCTACCTCTCACTTACGTCCTAGTCCCCTCATATCCTTCCTCACACCCCTGTGGCACCCACAAAAGAAAATTAAAAGAAAAAAATCAAAACAAGGAAACAAACCAAAGCAAAAATAAAACAGAACCCTCTATAATCTTCCATCTTTTCTATCTCTCCAATACCTCCTTATTCATTCTGCTGTCATTGAGAGTGGTGTGTCACATAATATAGTACCCTTTTGTCCAATCAGCTTTACTATCAAATGTTCATTGCAGTGAGTTTAGGGCCTTTGGTTTCTGGCACACCATCACTACTGGATCTTCACCAAAATTCCTCTGGGGTATCCTGTGGCCACCCCAGTCATGGATATCCTGTGGGTGTTATTCTACATGACTGGTTCCTTCACAAGCTCCAGCAGGTCCTAGGTGGGTGGATGTTAGGATGGGTCAACCCAAGGCCCAGCTGTGGGCCTGTATGTTAGCTGAGCTTGTCATTCTGGGTTACTGGGGCTGCCCACCTCAGACAAGGGGCCAGAGCCAGCTACCTTATACCCATGCTATTGGGATCAGGGTGGGGGTGAGGCCATCTCTTCTGAGGGTGGGGTGCACAGCTCTCTTGCTGCAGTGTTCAGCGAGAGGCAAGGTCAGCTTTCTTAGAGCCTGCAAGGGAGGCTGACTTAGCATGATCCTTTGATTTTTATCACACATGGTTTCTATGGCCCTCTGAGGTGACACAGGCCTCAGACATGAATACAGACTCTAGCTACAGCTGCACCATGGACCCCAGACATGTCCTTCAGCAGCAGCCTGGGCCCAGACCTCATCATGGTACCTGGTGCAAGCAGGCTTCCCACATCAGACTACCCCTCACCACCTTGTGTTCTGCCTCTTTCCACAGCACACGAACCATTTCATTTCTTTTTATCTCCATGTCTCCACCACCTACTGCTCATGATAATGGGACCCACAGGCCTAGGCTGGTCAATGGGTGGTCAGCACCCACTTGAGCAGAATTGCATTAAATGAACTGTGGACCTTTTTGTTGTTGTTATTTTACATTTATGTTTACTAGGCCTGTTAGGCCTATGCAATATAAATGTCAGTGTTTTCTCTCAGTTCATTATTCACTATTTCATTCTTAATTTGCATAATCTACTCTAATAAATTTATTTTGTTGTTTTCCTCTAAATACTTTTGTGTCCCCTTAAAAAAACTAAACAAAAACAAAACTTTGATTCTTTGTGTATTTCTCAGTATGCATTCCGATATCATCTCCCCATCTCTTTGCATCTGCCCTTTGTCCTTGCAACTTCTCCCCAAATCAAAACCAAATTTAAGAGAAAACCAAACAGAACAAAGAAACAAAAAACAAAAGAAGAATAATATTCTGGAAGTTGTAATGTGTCCTGTGAGACACACAGTTTACCCTTTAGTCTGTTGATGTTTACTTGCAAGTGTTCATTACCATGAATAATTGGTCTGGCTTGAAGTTTACTTTACACCACCGATAATGGTCTCTCATTGGAGCTCCTCATGGATATCCTGTTGTTCTGTGTCATGGAGATCCTGTTGTTTTGGATCTGTAGGTTCATCCCCTTCTCATGCTCCCAACAGTTCATAGATTCAGTGGATGTTGGGCTAGGCCAACTCATAGCCCTGGTTCTGGGCCTGGGTGGTCCTTGGGTTGGTCAGCTTGCTAGCTTTTTCTTCATCATTACTACCTGGATGAGCTCTCCAGCACTGCCTCAGCTAGCTCACCCAGTGTACCTACAACAAGGAATAGGGCCAGTTCTCCTACTCTTGGGCCCTGTTACCAGGGCCAGCTTTACTGTTTTATTCAGGCAAGGTGCAACAAGGCCCTCTCTCCCGGTTGCTATAGGGTGCATGGATGGGAGAGGCAGGCAGGCTCAGCTCTCCTGCTCTAGCATCCTTAGGGTTGGCTCAACTATATCCTTGACCACAGGGTCACTTCTAGTGCTTCCAGGTGAGGTGCATATTTATGGTGAGTGGTGAGGGGCAAGCTCTCCTCTGAGGGGTAGGGTCAGCTTGACTGTTGCAGTATCCAATGGAGGGCAAAACCAGCCATCCTCGAGCTAGGGAAATGCTTGTGACCATCTCAGCACAGCATGGTTCCAATGACTCCCATGTTAACTCAGGACATGGATATATCACCACAGACCCAGACATGGCCCTTGGCACCCCTTGGGAATCTGTACACATCACAGCCCCAGTGGCATCACAGGCCCCTCAGATCAGCATGGATCCCCCGGCAGTAGCATGTCCCCTAAGTGGCTGGTCAGACCCTGGGCATCCACAGAGCCCTCAGTGGCAACTGGAGCCTTGAACACCACCCCAGACCCTGGCTTCGCAGGGCCACAGACCCAGAAATGGCCCTAGGCATTGGTCACTGCCAGGATATTTCCATGATTCCAGGTGACAACACTGGCCACCCAGATCATCATGGTCCTGGGTGCAGCACAGTCCTCAGAAACCGATATAGTTTTAGGTGGCTGACCAAATTCTGGTCATCCTACATGACCCTTGATGACAACAAGAGCCCTGGACATTAACTCAGACCTTGCCCAATGTAGGGCTATAGACCCAGACATGGCACTCCGAAGCAGCCCTGGCCCAGATTATGCCTTAGTCCTGGGTGACAGCACAGGCCGCCCAGATCAGGATGTCCCTGGTAGTTGCATAACTCTTGGGCGCCCTTAATGGCCACAGGTTACAGCCAAGACCCTGGGCATCTATGTGACCTTTGGTGGCAACATTGGCATGGACATCAATACAGACCTTGGCTTTGGTAGAACCATGGATTCAGACATGGTCCTAGGTAGCAGCCCAGGCCCAAATGTCACCATGGTCCCAGATGGTAACCTAGGCCCCCACAGGAGCATGGGCCCTCAGATTCCAACATAGTCCTAGGTGACATCCTAGACTGCTTAAATCGGCACAGTTTTTTATGGTCTCAGGAGCCACAGACCCTGAATGCAGCTGGGCCATGGACACAGACATGATCCTCAATCATAGCCCCTGGTCTGGACTATACTATGGCTCTAGTTGATAGTCTTCTCCACCCAAATCAGCCTGGCCCTGCAGCAACACAACCCTCAGACACCAAAATGGTCAGAGGTTGTGGGCCAGATACTAGGCATCTACCTGAGCCCTTGTGACAACATGGACCAGGGGCATCAACGCAGACCTCGGCTGCAGCAGGATCATGATCTTAGACATGGTTCTTGGCAGCAGCTCAGGTCAGGTTGTTCCCATGGCCCTCACGTGGCTGTATAAGCCACTCGCATTAACATGGCCCCCACAGCAGCTTGGCCATTGAACCCCAATGAGGGCCCCAGTGTCAAGAGGGTCCATAGACATCAAGCACAGGCCCCAATGGCTGCTCCAGGGCTCTTGATCAAGGCCTAGTCCTTGGTCATAGGCCCCTGACATCTCCCCTGGACTCAGGTGACCAGCTGGCCATTTACGTAAGACTATTGTTACCACCTTCACCTCTCTCGATCTGCATCTGCCTCTCTTCCCAGCCACAAATCATTCTGCCTATCCTTCTCTTCTACCTCCCTCTCCCTGTATTCTCTCACTACAACAGTGCCCAACCACTCAGTGCCAGGTTTTTTGGTTTCATCACAGATGGTACTTGGTTGAATACTGCCTGCCCCAGCCATAAGAGGTGACAGGATGGCATGGAGCTGTTACCTCCCCTCTCTCCCAAGCCTGGGCCTAGAGACCTTGGGCACTACTTGGTGTGAGGATACTCTTGAGCTGGGCAGGCTCCTGGTTGGTTGTGGGCCCCTGTAGACTCAAAAGTCTGCAGTGAGGTGTTGTTTCTTCTTTATTCACCATTCTTTACTATTTCGGTATTAGGTTTGCCACCTCCCCTATACAATGTTTACTAGGTATTAAGAGTTAGGGGACATAAATTCTGCCCATGCTTTGCAAGCCTTAACAAATCACTTTTGCATGCCTTATATTTCTCTGGGTAGTGTTTTTCCCTCACGTAATTTCTAAATTATCTTTGTAAATGTGAATCCACATTACCAAGTTAAAGAATTAAATGGATTATATACACACGTACTATGTTTGATTGTTCACTCAGACAACTTTTAAACATTATGTAGAAGTTCAGTGTATTGCCTTTTTAAGTGGGTAGAGAACCTGAGACCCAAGAAGGCTGACTTGATTAGAGCCATAGTTAATTTGTTAACTAATGTGAATGCATTAGTCAATTTTTTTTTGCAATATTAGGAATTGATCCCAGGGCCTTATGCATGCTGAGAATACAGTGTACTATTGAAATGTACCACCAGCCCATATGTTTTGTTTATTTTTAACTGTTGTCTGAATTTCCAACCTTTGGGAGATGTTAATTGTACCATTAAATCATTAAGTGAGGTCAGAAGATACTAGAATTAGACTTTTACCTGCTTTCGTTATTGATTATTTATTTAAAAGTTTTTAGTTTGGAAATAAGACCCTTTATTTGGAGTTTATATGGCTAACTCATAATTAGTTGAATGCCTTAAGTGACTTGAGTTTGTGCTCTTCAGGCTGCAATGGATAGTGCTCGACTCAGTGCTGCCAAGTCCTCTCCCATGATGGAGACAATCAACATGGTGAGTTTCCAAATACAACTTGAAAGCTCATTTGTTTCTCTTTAAGTACAGTTCTTCAAAGACTTCATGTTGTGTAACATGAAACAAACCAAAGGGGGATGCATTGATAAAATACTGTGAATCCAATTTTTTCTTTCAAAAATTTTAAGTTTTTAATGGGTATATAAAAATTGTACATATCTTGGACATTTTTCTTAATTACTAATAGAAGTAAATTTTTTGGATAGCAGAATTACATGGAAAACAACCTTAGTCTTATTATTTTAGTAAGGTTCAGAGGCATGCTATTTGTTTATTTTTATTTTATTTTATTTTATTTTATTGTCATTACTTTCTGCCTGCTTCTGAGAAATTTCTTTGGAAAAGACCATGAAATTGTAAGCTTTAGAGGTATTTTAATGAAATTAGTAGTACAGAAGATTGGTGTCAGGAACTGAGCAATAGAGATGTGTTTCAGATGTCAGAAACATTGTGTAGTGAAGCATTCATGGTGCTTTGAGGTTCTGAGTACTGCAGTTCTCAGAGTCTTGGCAGAGCTGCCTTCTGGGTACACTTCTGTAGTTACTAGTAAGAGCTTGTTGCTCCCTGGAGATTGTTTTCTAAGAAGACCACAAACTGGACAAGAATAAGGTTGTTAGTGTCACTGGGGACCATTGCCAGTGTTTAGTCTAAGAATCTTATGTCTTAGTTGTATATTGGAGAAAGTGATAGCAATATTTAGCAAACTTCACTTGGAAATATTCATAAATAATGAATGTCCATAGACATTTTACATTTTAAAAATGATAACAAGCTAAGGTGAAGTCATAAGAAATTGACTTATTTGGAATCAGTTTTAATCTATGCATTTTATATTAGATATAGATTGATAGAGGGGAGATTGAAAGAGAGGTTCTTTATTCTTAGGTAACTCTTTCCTCTTTTAATAAACTAATTATGTTTTATTTCAGTTTTAATGTTGAACCATTAGCGAATTTTCTGTTTGCAATACTGTGGTAGTTTAAAATATTCAACTGGAGCAAAAGCAAACTAGTGATTTTTCAACTTTATGTTAAATCCAATGGGTATATATTTGACATGGGTAGTTTTTTAGATGAATATATGATACTAACTTCATTATTTGCTTAGGCTTGCCTTTGTTTTTATTATTTTCCAAAGTGCCTGCAATATCTTGATGTGTCGGTGCTGGGAGAGCTAGTTCCTAGGTTATGTGAACTGATCAGAAGTGGTGTAGGTCTTGGAACTAAGGTAAGATTGTGTGTTTGTGTGTGTGTAGAGAAAAGTTGTTGTCATGCAGCTAAGGCTGGCCTTCAACTCTATTATATACCGTAGGCTGGTCAATCCTCCTGTCTTAGCCTAATATTGGAAGACGTGTCATACTACACACATTACCACACCCAGTAATGTGTGCTGTGTGTGTTTATGTATGCCCATGTGTAGATGGAAGTTTCTGTCTGGTCCCACAGTTCCCTTTAGACCCAAATTAACATACAGAGGCTTATATTAATTATAAACTCTTTGGCTTTTTGCTCAGGCTTATTACTAATAAACTCTTACAACTTAAATTAACCCATAATTCTTACCTACTTTTAGCCATGTGGCTTGGTACCTTTTCTCAGTAAGGATTCTCATCTTGCTTCCTCTGCATCTGGCTGGTGACTGTGTCTCTGTCTTTCCTTCCCAGAATTCTTCCAGTCTGGTAGTCTCTAATTTATATTTCCTGCTTGGCTACTGGCCAATCAGCTTTTTATTAATCCAATACTAGTGATAAATCTTTACAGTGAACAAGAACATTATCCCACATTACCTGTGCATGTGGAGCTTACATAATATTTGTTTGTTTATTTTGAAGCTATGCCTCCTATAGCCTCATCTCAGCTCAAACTCCCCTATATAGCTGAGGATGGCTTTGAACTTTCGATTCTTCTGTCTATCTTTCCTAGAACTGGGATTATAAGCATCATGCTTGTATGCTATCTTACATGCTATCATGCTCTGCTTGTCTTACAGAACTGGGATTATATTGTCATGCTTGTATGCTATCTTACATGCTATCATGCTCTGCTTGTTTTACTGTTTTTAGTAAAATTATTTCTGGTTGTCATGTAAGCACTTTTGGATTTTCTATTATTACCAGTCAATGGAGAAACACCCTTATCTGTCAAGGAATATTCATTTTAGATAGTAATTTACTAATTTTCATGTAAGAGCAATAAGTTTTGGATAGAAAAATATCTTCTTTGAGAGTCTTAAAAAGGTTTGATACTACCTTCATCTGCTTACTTTTTCCTACTGTAAAATTTTGTTGTTGTTGTTATTTTGGACCAAATCTAAACTCTGGGGTGTCCCCACACAACTGTCTGCCTCAGAGTTTGCAGTGCTGGGAATGTGTGTGTCATGACATTCAGCTGCATCTCCATTTTAAAAGAAATGACTCATTTCTCCCCCATGATAAAAAGTTATTTCACCTATAGTTAGCATTTATAAATCAGGAGAAAGTTAAAAAAAAATTTATCTGTTTGTGTTTCTAATGTTTCCTCCTGTGTGTTTTTTTTGCATGCATATCTTCCACATTGTGTTTGTTAAAGGGTATGTGATGTTGCTCTGCTTGTGGCAATACATCCTTTATTTTAGTCAAACAAGGGAGATTTGACTTTTAGCTTTTAAAAGAAATTAAAGAACCATACATAAATCTGATTTCTTTGGAAATTCCTCAAATGAAATTGTTACTGCAGTTGTTTGTGATAACGCATCTTGTTTGGAGAATTATGTTTTTTTTTTTCTTATTCATAGTTCTTGCTCTGTATGTTTACAATGCTTTGCTTTTACTATGTTGAATCCCAGAGGAACTATTAGACTTCATATGGTTTATCTTTAAATTGCTGGGGCCTAAAAGAAGTGGTTTGATAGAACATTGTGACATCACACTTAGACCTTTGTTTTTGTAACCTTAAAAGGGAGGTTGTGCCAGTGTCATCGTTTCCTTAACTACTCAGTGTCCCCAGACTTAACACCTTACCAGGTGAGCTTGTAATATGAAGGAGATACTTTTTCATGGCTGTGCTGATTTTAGAGTTTTAAAGGGAAAATTATTTGGACATGCTTGTGTGCTTTGCTTTCATTCAAACTTGACACAGTTGTTTTGTTAGCAAGCTTTTATTGTCTTACAAATAAGTTTCTCAGTGTTGTAAAGAGATAAAAAGTACCTTTCATTCTGCAGAACTTTACTCCCTCTTTTTTTTTTTTTTTTTCCTGTTTATAACTAACTTACATGTTTTTTTTTTTTCTCTTTCTAGAGAAATCCTGGTAGAATTTTTTGTATATAGCTCCTCTTAATTTTGTATCATCCACAATATTCTAGACATAGGTTTATTTTTAATTTTTAAATCAAATGAAAGAAAGGGAGTAGGTAGAACAAATAATATTCAAAAGATCTAAACTACTATGTAGTAAATCTGATTAATTTCAGGGTTATGGGGTGTTTAGTTCTAACAATGTAACAGACTATTTGGCCAACCACACAAATAGATATTTTTATGTATTCCTATAGGTAAACTTATGAGTGCTTTGCTTAGTGGCCTAACAGATCGGAACAGTGTAATTGAGAACTCCCGGCATTTGCCATGGGCCATTTAGTTCGGGTGAGTTGAATTTCTTACTCAGTTAAGTACAGCTCTGGGGAATTACCAACAGCGAGTGAGTAGGAGTTGTTTGTTTTCCAGACGCCACGGGATAGCAGCACTGAAAAAACTGCTACAGAAGCTCAATGGCTGGTACATGGAGAAAGAAGGTACCTTTTTTTTCTGTTTTATGTCATTTGTAAGTTTAGGTATTAACCAAATAAACTACTGTTTTTGTAGGAACATTTTTAATTGGTTTATTTAGATCATTTTCCCTGAAAAATAGTAAATGCTTACAAAATTTTGGTTTTTCTCTTGAGAACCTATCTACAAGACCTCTTGTGCTTTGACTATTCATGCAATTGGAAGATAAGCCCTGATGTATTGAAGAACCATGCCAAAGAAATTCTGCCCTTGGCCTTCCTAGGGCATGCATGAAATTGCTGATGAGGAGAAATCTGAAAAAAGAAGAATGTAATTTGTGGACTGAAGTGTGGCAGGAAAATGTACCTGGTTAGTAAATGGTAGCTGCAAAGTAAATGTGTTTTAGCCCATAGCTGGAATTTTGACTCATATTGTTTCTTCCATAATTTTTCAAGGACTTGAACATGTGTCACATTTAATTTTTAGGGCCTCCTAATTTCTAAGTTTTTGAAGTGCCACTCAGAGCTCTTTTATTTGACTTGTTGCTGTATGTGTGAGAGAATATAAACTTTCTAAACAAAGCAAAACCTTACTTAGGTTAGTTGAATATAATTGTGATTTTATGTGGTCTTAGAGTATTATTGTAGAGCTGTATTTTTAACCTTGGATAAACATCTAGTGATGATAAACTTTTTTTGAATAATATCTCAGCAGTATGTCATAGTTCATGAATTCCTGCTGTTACATAAAGAAGCTGCACTACTCCCTGTGTCTAACTTTAGCAAGTGGTGTGTATGGTTTATGAGTTGACAGTCACTGCTTTGGGTAGATGGCACTGACTTACATTTAAAAATTATTTTTAAAATGTTTTCTTGTCACTTGGAGAGGTGTTTTAACTTTTCTTTCCCTTTTACATGTAGGCTCTTTTGGAGGCCTTCGACTATATATGCAGGAGTTGGTTGCTATTACCCAGAAGGCCTTACAATCGCAGTCTTGGAAAATGAAAGTTCAGGGTGCAATTGCTATGGCATCAATTGCAAAACAAACAAGCTCTCAGTACCTCCATATTTGGGAATGATACTGAGTGCTTTGGTGCAAGGCCTGGCTGGAAGAACATGGGCAGGAAAGGTAAAAGAAACATTCATGTTAAAGAATCAGGACTGTATCTTTCTATAGAGTAGGAATCTGATTTGATGTGACTTTGAATTACTTTTGCAGGTAGGTTTTCTAGCTAGTGAATTTATATCAAAGTATGTCTTATATGTTCTTGAATAAAGCCTAGTAATTTTAGAGATTGGAATATTTTACATATTCAGCTGTAGAAGTTGCCCTCTAAACCAGGTCATCATTTTGTGCCCACTGACCTTCAGGTAGAGCCAGAATTGGCCATTTGTGAAATTAAGTACATTGAACTACTTCTAATCCTGGCTTGATAATTAGAAACTTCTCTTTATACAAGCGGGTATAGAAAAAAATATGTATAATGAACATTCCATGGGAAACGTGATTGTGTCAATATTTGCACTGTATTTTGTAAAGTGGCCACCATAGTGTTGTGGTCATAATAATGGATTGCCTGGGACCTTGGTGCACGGTTCTTGGGCTTTTATGAGTTAGAGATTGGTGGTTTGGGTAGAATTCAGTAATGTGCATAAGTGAATAAATGTTAGTTTTTGTTGTGGTAGTTATAAAATATTCAATGGGGTGATTGTAGTCATAGTGCAAAGAATGTGAAATGTAGGTTTACCAGTATTTCTTCATCTTTAACTTATCAGGAAGAACTACTAAAAGCCATTGCCTGTGTGGTGACAGCTTGTAGGTAATTTTTATTAATGAATTTAATGTGAAGCTTAAAGCTAGTAGTTTTTTTTTTTTTTTTTTTTTTTTTTTTTTTTTTTTTTTTTTTAATTATTCTGATATTTTTGGCATGGATTCCATAGTACAGAGTTAGAGAAGTTCTGTGCCCAACCAACCCACCACAAATGAAATTCTTCAGGCTGTCTTGAGTGAGTGTTGCAAAGAGAATCTCAAATATAAGATTTGTAGCAATTGGCTGTGCAGCTGATGTTTTGAAAGCCACCAAGGAAGACAGATCTAGGAGTTTTCTGATATTGTCACACCCCCATCAAGAAGGTAATGGCTACCTGTATCATCTTAGATTTTCCTGTCCTGGTTATGTATTTTTACTAGGACAAGTTTAGCAGTAAAGTAACAGAAAATCCCCAGAATATTATGGTCTCAAACAAGGTAGAAGTTTATTTTACTGGATAGTTGGAAGCCCCATTAAGTCTTCAGGGATCCAGAGACGTGATTTCTTATACATTGTCCTCACGGTCTGTGGTTTGTGTTTCAGGCAGATGACCAAGGATATAAAGTTAGGATCATAGTAAAACATTTAATTCTCTCAAGAAATTTCTAGAAACAGAAACATATTGCTTTGATTCGCCTTCCCATTACTAGCACATAGCCCCATTTGGCAGCAGATGAGGCTAGGAAAGGTAATTTTTATATGGGCACTCTTTCTCCACCTGTGGGAGGAGGAAGAGAGTACCTAGATAGTGGAATAGCTTCCAATAAATTCTACCTTGCCAGCATGTGCACATGCTGCGAAGTCATTTAGTGTGAAGACAAGTATTGTGTGTTGTATAGTACACCTCTGCATTGTCTTGGGGAATTTTGGTTGTAAAGAAAAAATGACAAATACTTAATTTGAAACTGAAGTACTCATCTTTTAATAAAGTGACATTGCAAGGAAAGAGGGGATGTAGTTGGTCTGTTTGTTTTGGTTAGTTTTGAGACAGGCTCATTTTTATTATGTACTGACGGGCCATCCTAGAACTCACCATGTAGCTGTGTAGACCATTGTAGCCTCAAACTCACAGAGAGCTACCTGCCTTTGCCTCCTGAGTCCTGGAATAAAAGGTATGACCACCACTCCTGGTTTGACTACTTATTTTTAAAGCAGATCAAAGCATTATCGCTTGTGTTGCTCCCAATTCATATATCTGTTTTCTTTCAGTAATAAGGCTGTCTTAGGTATTTCTGTGGTAATGTATGGGTTTTGGAGATTGGTATTTTAAATAGATTATGTTGTTTGTGAACTTGTTTAATTACTTCTGGCTTCTTTACCAGTTTTTCAAAAAAAGTTGTGTTTGGGTCATTGCTAAGTTCTCTCCATCTTTAATTCTCTTTGATTCAAATGCACATTCTTGTAAGTTACCTAGAGTAGTTCATATTTGGCATTTTTTTTCACTTTCACTTACAAATTCTTTTAAAGTATTTCTGAAATTTATTAGAAATGTATACTCTTAATACAAACATAAGAACTCATGGTAGAGAACTTAGCATTTAGTTCTTGGTCAATATCTCCTGTTCTACACTTTTACTGTTTTAATAGTATAACTGTAATTTGAAGAAGGAAATACATACAATTTTCTTACCTGTTTTGAAATGTCCTAGAACTCACTTGAAAGCATGGAGTTCGGAGCACCAAAGGTGAAGATGAAAATGATAAGGAAAGAGAGCTGCAGTTGGGAGTCTCTGCTGGGTGCCTTTGAGAGCTTGGGCAAAGCCTGGCCCAGGAACCCAGAAACCCAACGTAAGCATCCCAACACAAACTTGTAGAAGTCCTGTAGCCAGAAGTCACTTGGCAAGAACACAGAGTTTCTTCATGGCTTAGGTAATAGTTCTGGCGTAGTCTGAGTATTAATAGTGAGAATATCCTATATCTATTTTACTCTTACACCAGCAAATAAGTACATGATTGGATCACTGTAGTATTAGGGATACTTTAGGAAAGTATCACAGGGGCATGGAGAAATAACTCAGTGGTTAAGCACATTCACTAGCTGCTCTTCTGGAGGACCCAATGAGTTTGAGTCCAAGCATTCACATCCATCTGTAACTCCTGACCCAAGGCATCCAAGAGCACTCATGTGGTGCACAGATAAACATCCTGACAAAACACCCATACACTAAATAAATAAATAAATAAATAAGGAAAGATAAAGGTAAAAACATATCTTTAAAACAAAAGTATCACAGACTGGATGGTTCAAGCAACATATTTTTTTTTTTTTTCCTTCTTGATTTTGATGGGTAGAAGTGTAAGTACAAGATCAAGTAGACTTGGCTTCTTCTGAGACTTTTCTACTTACTTTGTGAATGGTTGCCTTTCTTGTCTTTACATGGCTTCCTTCTGTGCTGCTGTGTCCTGATCTCTAGTAAAGGGATTAGAGGAAAAAAAAAAAAAAAAAAAAAAAAAAAGCTCTACAATATTAGTAGAATTCCTTCCTTTCAAAAATTGCTGGCCTTGCTATCAAGTCTTCAGTAAGCAAGTGATAGTTATTTTATTGAGAAACTCATGGCATAGATTTTCAGAATTAAATATATATTAACAAAGGATTAAAAATAGTAAACCTTGATTAATGGTTCAAGTTGTAGGTTACAGCCGGCCCATTGACAAGGCCTTATATTTGAACAGATGCTAAATATTTTGGGTCTTGTTCTAGGAACTACAGTCTGTCCCAATGAATTATCTCTGTATTTATTATTTGTATATGTATATTTTCTTTGTATAGTATATTTTCTTTGAGCCCATCATTCTTTGTGTAGCATATGAAGAATTTCTCAAAAAAAATTATCAATTTGGAGTGGTGTTAGAACTATAGTGGAAATTGGATTGCTTGATTAACTTGCTTCATAGCTAGAGAAGGGTATAAAATACTGCTAAGAGTTTGGGAGAAATTCCATGTCCACAATTAAAGGCATTTTTTTTGTGCCTTTCCTCCACTTTTGTCTGTTTTTAATGCTGCATATTCTTTTCTCTGTCCCTCCTTTGTTATCTCTCACTTTTAGATATTCCCTCCTCTGACCCTCTTCATCTTCTTCCCAGGCTGTTATCGTGTGAGCTGTGCAAACTGATGTGTGAACGACTAAGACTCAGCACATGGAAAGTGCAGCTAGGTGTCCTCCAGTCGATGAACGCCTTTTTCCAGGGGTAATTTGCTTCATGATCTCAGGTTTTTATTTTATTTCCCTATTGAATGGAAATTTTTAACATTTGCACATTTTTAAAATAGGAAATAGATTCTTTTTCACACAGTATATCCTAATTATAGTTTCTCCTCCTTCTACCCTCCCCACTTCCCTCCCTTCTGGTTCTACTCCCCTCTGTCTTTCATTAGAAAAGAACAGATTTTCTAAGAGATAACAACCAAAAGTGACAAAATAAAAACTATCGTATCAAAGTTGTACATGTAACCTAGCAGGAAGAAAAGTCTCGAAGAGCTATCACCAAAGTCAGAGACCCACTCATTCTGGTCAGGAGTCCCATAAAATATTAAGCTAAGAGCTATAATGTGCACTCAGAGGTCCAGGTGTAGACCCATGTAGATATGGTACTTGCTGCTTCCATCTCTGTGAGCTCATATGTGCCTTGCTTAGTTGATTCAAAGGGCTTTTTCTCCTGGTGTTCTTAATCTCAGGCTCTTATAATCTTTCTGCCTCTTATTCAGAGGAATTTTTTGACCTCTGATTTGATGTAGATCTCTATTTAGACTTCTCTACATAATGTCTGGCTGTGGGTCTCTGGCATCTGTTTCCATCCTCTTCTGGAGTGAAGCCACTTTGATGATGACTGGATAAGGCACTGATGCATGAGTACGGCAGAATATCATTAAGAGCCATTTTATTGATACCCATTCTTTTTAGATCAATAGTGTTTGGTTTTACCCTAGATCTCTGGGCTACATAGTTTCTGGTTCTTGGTCACCTAAGCTGTGTCAGGTGTGGATTCTTTCAAGGAGTGGGTGGCCCTTAAGTCAAAATAGGTATTGTTTGGATGCTCACACAAATTCTGTGCCAACATTGCCCTAGTGTATTTTATAATCAGGACAGATGATAGGTCAAAGGTTTTGTGGCTGAGTTAGTGGCCCCCCTTTTTTTGTTTTGTTTTTCTGGTAGACTTGCAGAGGACTTTTCCACACCATGAGACTAAAATGTAGCGGTAAAGGCTCCTGTAGACACTAGTTCAACACTCCATGTTCAGTGAATTGTGGGTGTTGTCCTGGGCAATGGGACTCCACTATCAGTTTTTAGGAGAGCAAACTTTGTCTTAGCAATAGCCTGAGTTTTTTGAGGATTTCTGTGAGACCCCCTCCCCTGCCTGACTAACATCTCAGCTGAATGCAGCCCAGCCCATAAGCCTCACCTGGCTACAAAAGATGGCCAGTTGAGACTCGCTACCCGCCATTATTCACCTCATAGATTCCAGGAAGCTTTACTGCACTAAGGCTTCCATACCACCCGGCAAATTCCCCCAGCTCCAGCCACCCCAGCCTTTTTTTCCTCACCCCATGTCCTCCACAGCTTGTAGTTTCTGCCCCCCCCTCCCTCCTACCAGCCTGCCTTTAAAATCTATATTCCCTCCCAGGAAAATTCATGCATTCCCCCCAGACCCTTTCTCTTTATCTAACCTCTCTGGGTCTATGGATTGTGGCTTAGTTATCATTTATTTAACAGCTAATAGTCCACAGATAATTGAATACATACTATATTTACCTTTTTAGGTCTGGGTTCCTTACTCAGGATGTTTTTTTTGTTTTGGTTTGTTTTTTGTTTTTATGTATTTTCGTTTGTAGTTCCATCCCTTTGCCTGCAAATTTCATGATGTCATTTTTAAACAGCAAAATACCACCGATTGTGTGTTATTTACACAGTCTTATAATTAATTCTAGATACTACTAGTATATGAAATATCATGATAAGTGATATGTACAGATAGAGGTTATACAGGGAAGGTTTTAAACTTTTAGTGTTGGAGTGATATTGTATGTCACTTTTAAGCTTATAGGTTAATGCTTTTGGAGGAAGAACATGCAGATTCTGAAGCTCTGTTAAATTCTTCTTGAAACTTGTAAATCAATTACTTACTCTTTAGGTGAGTGTAACTAGAATTTGAATAGTTTTTTGTTGCTTATATTTATTTTGTTTTTGATGCTGGTGCTGGTGATCAGGCACAGTCCTTCATGCGTGTTTTTAGGCAGGCACTCTACCACTCAACTATATACTTCACCCCTTTTTGTTTTGAGTCAGGGTCTCTTTTTTAAGATATTTGTTGCTGTGAAGAGACACAATGACCATAGGAACTCCTACAAAGGAAAACATTTAATTGGGGTGACATATGTGTTTCAGAGGTTTAGTCCATTATCATTATAATGGAGATGGCAGTGTTCTGGCCAGGCATAATGCTGGAGGAGGCAGCTGAGGAGTTTGTATCTTTATTCACAGGCAGCAGAAGACTGAGTGCCACACTGGGCTTAGCTTGAGCAAGTGAGATCCGTGGTGCTGGCCCTATAGTGACACACTTTCTCTAACAAGGTTATATCTACTCCAACTAGGCCATATCCTCAATAGCACCACTCCCTGTGGGCTAAGTATTTAAACATATGAGTCTATGGGGTCCATTTCTATTCAAACCACCACAGTCATCACACCCAGCTCAAGAAACCTGATTTTTAAACTAAGAGCTGAGTCTTAGGATCTAGCTGTCTGGATTATTGCTGACTGTTCTATTTATATACCATATGTACCCTGACAAGTGTTTTATCCGGAATTACAGTAGAATTTTAGATTTACCTTTACGCCAGCATTAAACATTTTTTAATATAGTTTCCAGTTTTATAAAACTGTTAAAATAGCTCAGTTAGTACTTAGTATATACTTAACAGGAGTTACCAGCTAACACTGTTGTCCCCTTTATCTTTTGGACTTCTTTATCTTTATCCTGAGCCCTTCAAAAGTGTATTGATTATAACATGTTCCTTTATTTTTAAGTTTTTGAGATACATTTTTTTTAATTTAAAACTGTAGTTATCAATTTATACAATATTGTAGAATGCAGGTTTTACCAGTTTTTTTTTTTTTTCTCATTCATATTGTAATTTCTCAAGTAATTCTTTGCTTGGATCTCACATCCCCTCAACCTCCATTAAAACATACAGCCCAGGACCAAATACAAATAAAATTACTTAATTTTATAGTTTATCACACACACACTCTCTCTCTCTCGCTCTCATTTCCTTAGACAGGGGCTTCTCTCGTATAGCCTTGGCTATTTTTGAACTTGCTCTGTTGTCCAGGCCGACCTCCGTCTCCAGAGTGTTGGGATTAAAGTGGTGCACCATCCTTCACTCCTGGCCTTTATAGTCACTTCTCATTTGGCACATTCCTTTGGCCTCTCTTTCTCTTATATTATACTCATGATTTTGAAGGATAAAGCCTTTCCTCCTTTTTTGAAAAAATAACAATTTCATTTGTTGTTTGTTTGCATTTCAATAGGCTTGGATCTAGCTTATGAATTCTGATGTTAATGTGTTTTTCCTCACATCAAGAGGGGCCAATGTTCAGCTTTCCTAATTTTTCATTGTTAACTTTTGCTTACCTAGTCGAGGTACTGTGGATTTTGTCTCTAATATCATTCTTATTTTTCCTTGTATTTAATAGCATACTTTATTATTATTATTATTATTATTAACAATTAATCTCCTTCAATCTATTAAACAGTTTGTGAGAAGACACTAAGTAAGACCACATTCTCATATGTATTACTCTTGGAAGTTTATCCTTTAGATTTTAAAAATGCATTGATGATTCTTCTTTGTTTAGTTCTTTTCTATGGTGTTATTTTTTTTTTTTTTTTTTTTTTTGTATTCAACTCTAGGCCTTTCCTCCACATTAACTATTTGGTAGTTGCCATTTTAATTTGAACAAGATTCTTCTCTTCTTCCTATTTCTTTATTTATGCATCATTAGTCATTACAATAGCAATCCCCACACACACCAACCTCTCAATGTTTTATAACTAATTATTTTTAGGAGTTAATTTTAATTATGTGTACTTACACCAGTGTCCTCACAGTCCAGAGGTGTGAGGTTCTCATGAAACTGAAGTTACAGACTATTGTGAGCTGCCAGTGGGGTGCTACGATTTCAACTCTGGGCCTCTGAGCTGCATGAGGATTACATGGTGCTGATCCATCTCTAGCTCCTGATTATTGTCATTAATTAATTTGTTATTTAATTGTCTTAGATATTACTAATGAAAGTCTCTGCAAGCTGATTCCCTGTCCCTTTGAGGGGGGTCACCATTACTTTTTAGTACTTCACTTCCCGACTTAGATGCATAGTAATTTTGGTTAGACAATTCTCCAAAAACTCAGTGCCTTGTGAATGAGTATGTGTACCAACAAAGCTTGTTTTGTTTGTAATTCTTGGAAGTAGCATGCTTTTGTGGCTATAGAGCTGTAATAAATGAGGATCATGCAGATCAGAGCCATATTTATGTATGACATAATTATGACATGTGTTTGGGATAGTGTGTTTTGATCTCCTTGTGTCTAAGATGAGTCTTTCAAAACATTAAATATATTAGGGCTAATATATTTGGCTGTCAATAGTGCCTCAAAAAATAATGAATGTGGACATAGAGCATAATTTAAATATTTGATAATAATTAACAAATAGAAGTTTTCTTCAAAAATGAATCCACAGAGTTTTAACTTTTTATGTTTCAAACACTAATTTACTCTTGGGAGTTCTGTTTTTAAAACATACTTATGAATTGCCTATTTTCTTCCTTAGAAAATAAGACCTACTCATCTGTGAGAACAGAAGCTTTATCTGTGGTAGAATTGCTGCTTAAAAACTTGAAGGTGAGTTCTGATTAGAGTACCAAAAACCAGGATACTTTGTGACACACACTTTCGGGATATTTTTTATTTGTTTTTGCTAATGGTGTAAAATACACATTAATGTATATGTGACATACAAGTAGACTATAGAGAACTAAAGTCATTAAATTTTAAAGATT